CAGTGTTCTAGAAGACCACAGTCAGTGGTAGTAGGGATCAGGGACCTAGGGTCACCACAGTGTAAGTAACAGACCTGGGCTATTGCCATGGACTTCCCAGTTGTGGCTCCCTTCCAGGACATCATTGTTCCATTTGATCTTTTGCTATGTTAATATGCTGTCTAAAATCTTTTCCTCTCTCAGGGGGCCAACTGTTGTTATTCACAGTGGAAGCCATCAGGAAGTTAGTCTTTATTAAAAGACTAACTAAAAGTGCTCTATTGGAATATGCGTATTTTCTTAGATAGAGATGCCTATGCAGATCTATCCAGTTTTCCATATTGTGTGGGACATTTAATTAAAAGATCATTTGTACATTTGCCTTTACAATAATTACTCATTATTATTCCGTGCTCCACCCATCAATTTTGAAAGCTTTGGCTGTGTAATGACCTTTTTTCTTTTTTATTTTATTGCATCTCCAATTGGTATGGAGAACTGTGGTTTTCCCCCATATTTTAAATAAATTACATTCTTCCCTTTTATTTTTTATGCTGAGTATGTAATTTTCCTTTTTTTAGTGTGGACATATTTGAATGATTTGGGACTGTGTTTAATATTTTAATATATGATGATGGTAGTTTTTGTGAAAAACCCTCTCCTAATCTTAACACTTTTTAAACTTATTTTTTTGGCCATTGTCTTATGATTTTTCTTTAACTCTTGCATATTTTAGTTTATATAATCTAATCATTTTCTGGAAGTCTGCAAAAAAAAAACAATCAAAAAGTAAATAAAATTGGTAAAAAAAAAAATAGCTTCTTCCTACTGTATGAGACTTTTAAAATACCACATATGTATATAATAAGTTTGCTATGTAGAAGTCTTTTGAAGAAAAGTCTATTCCATCTCTATAATCTCTCTGGGCCAAACTCTGTGATCCAAGGAGCTATTTGAAAATTGTTCTTCCTCACATTCTTACTTTTTGTTCATTACATAAAAGAAAAAAAAAAAAAGTGGGACCATAATGTGGACATGTCATTGGGTTTTGGTTCCAGGAGTCCCTGCAGATACCATATATGGGTGCTCACATTCATTGCATGAAGTAGTATAGTATTTTGCTTACACCTCTTCCTTTATACTTTAAATGATATCTCAATTACTTAGAATACTTAATACAATGTGAATGCTGTTCAGATAGCTGCTCCACTGTAATATTGGGGGAATAATGACTAGAAAAACGTGAATTGCATGTTTATTGCAGATACTTTTTTTGCTGCTGTTAATTATTTCTGATCTGTGGAGCTGGGGTTGTGGCTCAGTGGTAGAGTGCTTGCCTTCCATGTGTGAAGCACTGGATTCCATCTTCACCACATAAAAATAAATAAGTAAATAAAACAAAGATATTGTGTACATCCACAACTAAAAAAAGATTCAAAAAATATTTCTGATCTGTGCTTGATTGAACCCATCCGTGGATGCTGCAGAGAGCCAACTGTATGTTACTTAGTTTTCTTTTCATTTAATATACTCTTGACATCTCTTCAGATTACATTACATGTAGTACTTCCTGTCAGCCATGTTGTTTTTAACTTGCATTGTTTAATACATTAATTCCAGCCTGAAGATCCTTGCACGTGTGATGACGGCTAAATTCTTGCATACAGAAATTCGAGAAAAAGGGGGTGCTTATGGTGGAGGTGCCAAACTCAACTATAATGGAATTTTCACTTTTTACTCTTATAGGTGAGTTGTCTTTTCACCACATCTCATGTGTGAACACACACACTTCGTTTTACTTCTAGTACTTGGCTGTATTAATTACCAGTGTAATTATATATCATCTTATATATAGGAGTGACTGTCACCTAACCACACCCAACGGTAGTATCCTTGGTCTTGCAAGGACCAGGAATAGGAGTGTAACATTGTATTACTTATTTTTAAGTAAATCCTCATTTGCTAATTGTCACATTAGCAACCTAAGAGCCTTCTGAGCCCCTCTCTGTGGTAGAGGCCTAAGGGAGATCTGTTTTAGGTTTTCAGAGACCTGCTCTGTGCCCAGGCCGTACCTAGATGAGGGGTGAAAACAGCCCATAGACCCTCCCCTCACGATCCCCAGAAGTTGCCTTCAGAACCATGATGGTGGGCAGAAAGGACTCGAAGTCTTTCCACTCAGATACAAGGAAATATCTCAATAATTATCCAACCTTTGGGCAAATTCTAGACTATTCTGAGTTTATCTTGTGGAAGTATTTTTGTTTAACCTTGAACTTTTCCACTAGTCTCCCATAATGTCACTGTGATTCTGACTTCCCTGCATCCATGTGTTTTTCTCTCCTGATAGAATCACAAAAGAGCATTTTAAAATAATTTGTCAATAAAATTAGGCAGGTAGACCATGTCACCAAATATAAGGAGTTTGTCATGAGGTTGTTGTGGTCAGATTTAACCTTCTGCAGAGTATAATTGCTCTGTCAGTGTGGTGTTTGGAATACGACACGTTAAAGGTAGAGCTGTTAACAAATAGAAAATGTCGATGAACTCTTAGTCAACATGTGATTTTCATTACTTTTTCCATTGGTAAAATCCTTCAGTCTTTAACTGTGGTTTTCCAGGGATCCAAATTCAGTAGAAACACTCCAATCTTTTGAGAGGGCTATCGACTGGGCTAAATCTGGAAAATTCACAGAGCAGGACATTGATGAAGCCAAACTCTCTGTTTTCTCTGCTGTAGATGCTCCTGTTGCTCCTTCAGACAAAGGTAATTTGAGTAAATAATGAAATCCTTGATGTGTGTTATTGCCAGCTAAAACTCGAGTTTTCTGAGTACTTGCTTCTTGGCATGTGGGGACTACAGGCAGCAACTCCGTCTTGTTTTTTTCACATCTCTGTCCTTTTTCCATTGTGATATGGTTTTCGTATTTAACAACCTAACAGTGACCTTGAAGTCATGCTTCCTGACAGCAAGTCAAGAACATGTTGATGTTTTACTTCAAATGAGTGGAATCATACAGCGAGGTCGAATTGCTGACCCAGTAAAACACCTTGCATTAGAGTTGAGTATTTTTGACTTGGCATGAGAACAGCCATGTCATCATGTAGCGCCATTTTGTTCACAGTATTACCAGTCATAGGTGACCCTTACCAACTCTTTATCCACACTCCAAAAGTGGGACTCTGTAGCAGAGGTGAGCATGGCTCTGTGGTAAGTGGAAGTCAAGGTTTGACCTCTCTGGGCCATGCAGACACCTGTTTGAAATACATCAATAAAGTAACCTCAGTGTCCCTGCCTGGTTGTGAGCACAGAGGCCCCCACTTGAGCCATACCCAGATAGCTCCTCCATCTGTACCTTTGGTTTTCCTTTCAGGACTGGACCACTTCTTGTTGGGTCTTTCAGATGAGATGAAACAGGCACACAGGGAGCAGCTCTTTGCCGTCAGCCACGATAAGCTGGCTGCCGTGAGCAATGAGTGAGTATGCGCGCTGTGGTGTGACGTGTCCAGTTAGTGAAATTCAGAAATGTGAAGACTTTCTGTAGACTTGGAGAATGTGTGTAATGTAGAAAATAGTTCAGATTTACTGTCTTCCTTTCAGGTACCTTGGCATTGGGAAGAGCACACATGGATTGGCTATACTTGGACCAGAGATTGCAAAAATTGCTAAGGACCCCTCATGGATAATAAGATAACTGGTCTCAAGTATTTTTGGCTGGACTCTGGAACACATTTGAACCTACATGTGTATAGGCTCTTAAAACTGAAGCCTCTGAGCCAGAGTTAACTTGGAAGATCAGAAATGTTACTGCTTTTCCCAAAAATCATGTTGATTTTAAAATTTGGCCAAAAGTACTGACTGGCAAGTTGAAGTATGAGGGAAGTATGGTCATCATGAAGAAATTGAAGTGATTATATAAATGAAGATTTTAAAACTTATTAATCCTAAAACATTTATTTTAAAAATAAAAGGCAACTTTGACCTACCTGTTTGTCATTATTTTAAATGACATTTTGCTAAAATTGAACACTGTAAACCTTCATTAAAAATTGATGAATAAGTGACAAGGGTATTCCAGCATCTGTCTGCTTGTTGCAATCACACCATGGACCAGCGGAAAAGTCAGCCCCACAGATGTGAGTCAAACAGGGCAGCCCGAGGGGAGTCCAGCTCAAGAACAAGGCATGTTCTATTAAGAAGTGTTAAACTGAGTTTTTCCCACTGTCTTTACTGGGACAGAACACTTCTCAGGACCAGCTCGCCTCTATTGTTTTATCCTCAGATTTTGTAAACAGAACTTTCTAAGTTGCTCCTTCCCTTCCCTCTGTGAACTCTTTCCCCCATTATCTGGAGTAACGTATTTTCTCAGTAGTTGAGTGGGCAGAGCTCAGTTTTTTAATGTGGTGCTGGTACATTGCCTCCTGCAGACTAGACCCATATGTGGACTGAACAGGAGGCAGAAATGCTTTTCCCTAGTGACTTATCAGTTCAGTGGGATTATCCCCATGCCTATGGACTGACCGTCCAGCAGCCCTTCAGAACCCTCTGAAGAGTTCCAACCTAGGCCCACCCAGAAGCATGGCTGTTTGTAGTCTGCAGGACATACTGGGAATCAGATTCTTTGTAACATTTCCCTTTGTGGTTTTAATGTGCAACTAGGATTCAAATACAGTATATGATAGCTTATACTTAAGGCATTTGTTCATATATTATTATTTTCTTTCTTTCTCTCTCTCTCTCTTTCTTTTCTTTCTTTACCTTGTCTCACTTTGAAGAGAGACTAAGAGCTTAGAGTTAACCTACCCACCACATGGTGTATCAGAGCCAGGCCCAGGCTGATTTCAGCATGGGCTAAAGGGCAATTCCATGTTTATTAATGACACAGTTGCTGTTTGGATGACTTTGTGCTTATTATTTCAATGATCCTCTACATTTTGCTAATCTCTGCCCAGAAAACTGCTGAGGAATCTTTTAGTGGCCACCCACAGATCTTGTTTTAAATTCAAGAAAATAAACAGTGCTCTTAAGGGTTTCAGCCATATGTTTAATTCCACTAGACAGACACATTTTGAAGCATGAAGATAGAATACAAGGGGGAGGAGACAACTCACTGGAATGGGTAGGGGTTTATGTCGCAGATGATTGGGATAAGATGACACTGGTAACTGATGCTTTCTGATTAGCTGTTACTGCCAACAATACTTGCGTAAAGTGCCGATAAATAACTTAAATGTTACAAAAAGATGGTCCCGGTAAGTTCCAGGCCTCACTGAACACGTCATTTTGATGGTCAGCACAGCACTCAGATGGCCGCAGGTTCCCCTTGAGTATTCTGGTCTTGCACGGGCTCCAGCTGACCAGAGTCAGACACGTCGAAGCTTGCCTTGTACTTGGCCAAGATCTTCATAAGAGGCCGCAGTTTCAGCCACCATTGTTCTTTGGGAATCCTGTGCCTAGGAAGGAAGACAAGACAGTGCCACCTTCCCTGCTGGAAGACAATTTCCAGCTGCCTCTGGCTGCAGCCAGGCCAAAGGAGACTTGTCAAAAAAGGTGGGTTTATGGAGTCACCTGACTAACCTTTGGATGATAAAGCCAATTTTCACAGATCAAATGAAAATATTATTTTTGTATTTCTAAAAGTTCTGCCCTGTTTCTCAATGTCTACTATTCTTTAACCTTGCTCTAGAAGAGCCCATGTGTTCCTTCAAACACTGCCATGCTTTACTTACAATCAATAAGATTGTGGTGTCCCTTTGTCCTCATGACTCCTATTATTCATTCTTGCTAACAGCTATGACATTTACTCGTACAGTACAGTGTTTAATTGACTTACTCAAAATCTGTTTCCTTCTTTAGATCTGCCACAGGTTGGAAAAGGACATTTCTTTTGCTTATTCCCAGCACACAGATGCAGTCGTCAGAAACACATTTCTTTCCTATGAGAGTTAAAAAAAAAAAAGAAAGAAATTAGGAACTACTAATGCATCATGTCGATAAAATGTCATGTGAAGGTGAGGTAAGAGTTGGATGCCTCAGAGCCACCTTGGGGTGGATGCAGGTAATTCCAGTTTTGACCAGTAAGCTTGGAAATCCTGATGTGTGCCATGGATTACATTTGATAATCAGCTGTGTATCCAGTGGGGACAGCCAGTGCACAGTGTGCCAGTGTCCTTTGAGACTTTCCCAGAGTCTCCTCCAGGCCCTTCAGGACTAGTGAGGAGGAAGGCCTAGGTTGTGGTGAGGCCTCCCTCCCTTGAAAGAGGCTGTTCACCTGCCACTTACCAGAACAGTGGCCACCACAGATAGAGGGAGGGATTTATGCAAAGAATGTTTTTAACAATGAATAAATATTTCACTAACTAGTGGAGTAAGGAAAAGTGAACTTAAATTGCAGAAAGGCAGACACTGAAAGTTAATGAGAGGAGTATCCACAAATGAAATCTAAGAAGTAGAAAGATATATCAAAGTATAAATTGATGTAGAAAAACTATCAAAGTAGAAGGAATTAAAGCCAACATCAGTTCTTCAATACTAAAATTAGGTTGGAACTGCTTATATCACCATCTTTACATAAGCTGTGTTTTTGTAAACCAGACTAGAAATTGTATAAAAACACACATCTGAGATGACTGGCCCAGAAACCTGTAGGGCAGGGGTGGCATTGACAAAAATTGGCACAAAAAGCCCATCTCAGGATTAAATGAAGACTAAATATGTGCTGCAGGCACTGAAAGAAGAATGTTATGGGAAGTTCAGTGACAATTTTTTTTTTTGAGAATTTTAAATGAATTGAAAGTTTCCTAGAAGATGCAATTTACAAAAATGATTCAAGAAAAAAGAAAAAAACACAAGTGTTTCTATAAATGTGAGAGAAATTCAGCTGTCAAATCTTTCTACAAAGAAAACTGTGTATTTTGATGGATGATTTCACTAGAAGATGCTTCCAAATATTCAAAAGCAAAACAAAGCAAAACTCCCATCCTCTACATACTTTGAGGGAATTCCTCCTTCAAACTTGACCCCAACCCTTGACAAGGACAGTAGCAGAGAGGACATTGCTAACATGTTCACAATCACTGACACAAAAAGCCTGCACATAAGAACTACAAGTTGAATCCAGCAGTGAATTAAAAAGAACATTGTGACCAAGTTAATTCTGAAATTTAAGGCTGGTCAGTTTAATTTGTCACACTAACAGATGAAAAACAATTATCTCATGATATATAATATGATAAATAACATAACCTTTTATAATTGAAAAAATGCCTAGCAAATAATGAAAATATATCAAAGACTAATAGTAAATATGAAATCACAAAGACTTGAGTTAAATACTAATGATAACTCTTAGGAAATGCTAAAGGCATTCTTGGTTCCCATCACAATTGAGAAGGGCAGGAGCTCGAATGTCACTATACCCAGTGAAGCCAGAGCTGACTGGGGATGAGAGTTGGTGACATCACAAATGTCTCAAAAAATGAGGGCGGTATATAGATGATATGATTGTACATGTAAAAGTGAATTTATAAATTCTTACATCAGGATTCAGAGCATAGAAAAGTTAATTTCTACATACCAGCACAAAATATTTAAGTACCATTTGTAACATTTTAAAAAAATTAAGACTCTAGGAATAAATATACCAAAAAATATGTGAGGTCTTATGAAGAAAAACAAAGGTTTGGGCTGGGATTGTAGCTTAGGGGCACAGTGCTTGCCTAACATGTGGGAAGCACTGGGTTTGTCCTCAGCACCACATAAAAATAAATAAAAAGGTATCGTGTCTATCTACAAAAAAAAAAGAAAATATTATATTAAAAAAAAGGCTTAGTGGGCTGGGGTTGTGGCTCAGAGGTATGCTCACCTAGCATGCATGAGGCACTGGGTTCGATCCTCAGCACCACATAAAAATAAAGATATTGTGTCCACCTATGATAGATAAAAAAAAAAAAAAATGAAAAAAAAAGGTTTAAGTTACTACCTGGCCTATGATTATAAAGTGGGGAAAAAATGAGATTTTTAATCCATAAATGGCACCCAAATAACTGATTACCCATACCACACAGGAAAAAATAAACTCAGATCTTAAGCTTCACATTAAGCAGATTAAAATAAATTACAAATAAAAGAACATTCTAGTAACAGAAAAGCCATAAAGGGAAAGGTGGGTGATATTCCAATAATATAGTAGCTTTGCCTCTATTAACCAGAAAATGCTGTGTACATGTTGGACTCTTAGCAACTAGCCAACAGAAAAATAGGCAAAACAGAGAAACAAGAATGTCATGCAACCTGCCATTTTCCTCTTTACCTGTTGAGTCCACTTCTCCAAGCCACAGTGAAACACCAAATAAAGGTCAGGGTATCAGATGTAAGCCAGATGGCAGTGACAGGACACTGCATGCCTGCAGGTGAGCATGGGACTGGTAAACTAATTTGAAGACCTTACAGTCCAGCAGAAACCAGGCATACAATTGAGCCAGTTCCCAGGGACCTGGGCACTACCATACTGTGTGGGATACTCAAGTGCCAGGACCAGAATGGTCAGCTGGCCTGGAGCAGCAGAGATGATGGATTTGCACGAGCACAGGTCATCACAAAAATTCTAAAATACTGAAGGACACACTTGGGTTCTGAAGGAGAAACATGATGTGGATACCACCTGTCTTCTGTTGTGGGATTCTGTGCTCTTAAAAGTTGTGAATGAAGCAATTAGTAAGTCCTAAGTACCTTAAGTAAAAGCTAATTCAAAGTGATTCTCATCGATAAAACAAGCCCATTTTACAGTCTTATTAAAAGTCTAACATTATGTGCAGCAGTTTCTGCCTAATAGATATAAAGCTACTAAATTACTGGAATGTCATCCACCACTAAAAGCAGGAGTAAAGTATTTTATTTTATTAATAGGATTTATATTTATTTTAATCTTGCAAGTCATATAGCAATGCTAAGACTAGCAAAAACTAAACAAAAAGCATGACCTTCCCATGACCTCCTACCTTTGCCATAGGACTCTTTCAGCTTAGTGGTGATCCATTGCATGGCTCTGGCAGAGATTTTGGTTCCAAAGTTTCTATCAAATGGAGAAGGTACTCCACCCTGTTTGTGATTAAGTTATTAGTTACAAAGCAAGCAGAAATGACAGTTTCTGTAGTTGAACAAGATTCACATTTTTAAGAGATGTGAACCTGCAAATATGGCATGGTTTGGCCTGTTTCTGTCTTGTTGGATTTGGTTGGGTCACAAACCCAAACTCTGATGGCTCACCTAGTTGGCAAGCCTTCCTTCTAATCAACTGGACCATCACCGACGAGTCCCCGAGTCCCCTCAGTATTGCAGAGTCTCACATCAGGGTTTCTTGAACTTATTTTGGGGTAAGGAGAGATGTCAGTTTCCTTTAAGAATCTGATAAACTGTGGATTTTTGTTTTTCCCCCCCAAATACACACTTGCCTATTTCATCATATGATTTAAGGACTCATGAACCTTTTGAAATAAATCAGTGGACCCTACTTTAAAAGTTCTCTAAAATACAAGGAATAGGAGGTAATGATGCAAACAGCAGAGACCTTCAAACTGGGAAACCTGGGACTACGTACTTCCCAGCTGAGCTCCAGTTGTTATTTGGGGGCACACTCAGAAATTGTAAAATTAAAGCTTACCCTACAGTTCTTTTCCAATTCATTCTGATTTTTTTTATAAATATCAAGTATCATTGGTCCAATATTCTACTTTAAATCTTATTAAACCCTATATTTAAGAAAATACTTGCTAGGCATGGTGGCACATGTCTGTAATCCCAGTGGGTTGGAAGGCTGAGGCAGGAGGGTTGTAAGTTCAAAGATAGCCTCAGCAACTTAGATAAAAATTAAAAGGGCTGGGGATGTGGCTCACTGGTTAAGTGACCCTGGATTCAATTACAGACACCAAAAAATATATATATATATTTTAATTTGTATACTATTTCCAAATGAACCAATGTCACTATTTACATGAAAGGTGAGAATTTCTTAAAATCTCCATACACTGTAATAATTATAAACGAGAACAAATTCTAAAGCTAATGAGACTTTTAAGATGGAATAATTCAGCCGCTGTTTCTAGTCACCCTAGAATTTACTTCTGAATACACATTTTTCCAAAAATGGGCATAATGAGGCATCAGTTGGAAGACAGCTCTCCTTCGTCTTGAGGAGCACAGAGGCCTCGGTGTGACCTGGGCCTCCAGCCCTACCTGCTGCATGTGGCCCAGCACGTTCTTCCTGCAGTCAAACACCCCTTTGCCTTCCTCCGAGTAGAGCTGGTAAATGAAGTCCGTGGTGTAGTTCTCACTGCAGCTCTCATTCCTGCCATGAACGGAAACAGCTGAGGTTATTCACCAGGCAAAGGCAAGCAGGGGTCTCCCAGGAAGCGATCTACCCGAGCAGCCCAGGATGCACAGCCACCTGTCAGGTGGGCCGCTTGGTCCTTCATCCCTACCGGACTAGGTATTTTCCCCTTTCTTCATAAAGGTCAAGGGGCTTAAAGAAAGATATGATTGGGAGATATCATGGGGAAAAGAAAAAGACGAGAGCAAAATTAAATTTGAAAATTGCCCTTCATTGCTTTATTTTTTTAACACTGGCTCAGAATAATGCTCTACTCAACAAAACTATGGTTTAAGTGAGGGCAAGTGAATATCAGCCTTGCCAGAAAATCACCCATTATTTAAATGCAAGTATATTTTTAACAGCATGCAATTGCCATATTTCTGTGTTCCTTCAGCATTTATAGTGAGAATCAGAGTGGCAAAGGAGTAATGAGTGCACCTTAGGTTTCAGATCACAAGATAGATTCTAAGAACCTAGGTCTAAAAAGGAAGTAAGATTAGAAATACTGTTTCATTACCTGAGCACAAGACCCCTCTGGATGGAGGTCTTCATTTTCTCTGTCAGGTGTTCCACGTTGGACTAGAAAGAGCATTTTGTTCATCAGACAATCAAATTATTAAGCACCTACTATGTGCCTACTCTAAGATCCTAAGTGCTAGAATAAAACAGCAATTGAGAGAGATGGCAGATGCTTTTATAGCTTACATTTATTTTATTTATTTGTGGGAGACTATAGTAGACAAAAATATATTAGTGATATATGTATAGTAGTGATAAATGCACCAGTAACAATAATCAAGATAATAATACATAGGGTGGCAACAGGGCTGAGTTATTGGGCATATTTATTTAGTGAATGGAAATCATAACTTCCACAAGAAATGCTCTCCAAAATAAGTGGATTTCCCTCTTACAGTTATTTATTTTATTCTGTGCATTTGCCTAATGTTTATACAATTATCCATTGTTCTTCATCTGTTTTCATGACTGTATTTCTTAGAGCTCTCAGAAAATAACTACCTGTTGCCTGATTTTATTTAAAATCTCATACAAATGCTTAAGAAACATTTTCTGACCAAGGAAAAATTTTATAGGCTCATGCATACATAAATTCTCTTAAAAAAAAATCGGTCTTGAAAGAATGTACAGAAACATTTCAGTCCAGCAAGGAAGATTACTAAAGGGCAGTAATTTCCTAATGACTCATCCTAAAAAATGTGTCATTGAATTTGTCATAATTACATTTCTTAACCATCTACCATGGGCCAGGAGCCAAAAGTGCCAATAAGGCACTGTCTTTTAGAGAGACCTCAAGTATTAACAGTTCAATATTGTCAATAAATTCATGCAATGTCCATGTCACCAAACATCTCATTACTTGATTTAGTTCAGAAACATAACTTGCTTAAAAACAGTTGCTCAACTTGTCTCATCTGTCCATGCTTATCCTTTTTCAAGGTGGAGTGGTCCATGCCTAGGCCTAACCCTACAGTCTGAGCAGACACTGTGGCCCTCATGGGCCTGCTCCTGCCTCCCCACCCAATCCGTGACCACCTGCTGCGGGTACTGAGGCTGCCACCAGCTCTGCCAAATGCCCACTGGTCCTTCCTCCAATCCAGCAGCCTGGTTCTGGCCAGGCCGGAGCCAGTCAGGGAAGAGCCTGGACGGACTGGCTGAACCAGCCATTGGCCTGAACAAACTGAAGGAAATGGGAAGCCTTAGGCCTCCTTCATCAGTCATCACAGATCTTAGGAGTTTAAAAGAGCTGCAGCAATGAGTGAGTCCTTGTGTCAATCAGGACTGGGTGCCATGATGCAATGTAGGTCCACTCAATGCAACCAGTGAGTCCTTGTGTCAATCAGGACTGGGTGCCATGATGTGCAATGTAGGTCCATCAACTGGTACATCCCCAGCACCGTAGGGCAAAGACCACTCTCCAGCTACCACAAACTCCCCACCCTTGGATCCACAAAGATTCCAGAGGCCTGGGACTGAGGTCATACATAATAGGCCTGCTCAACATATTGGATCCAGTTAAACAAGTATCACCTTTCAGTGACTTATGACACACATGAGACATACAGAGATGAAATCTCTGTACAAGCCTGTTTTCACACACAGGAATAAAAGGTGTCCTTGACCCTGTCTATTCACCCATCAAAAGAGCTCCTAATACTAAAGTCACAGAATCTGAATAAAACAAGGCAATGACTGAAGGGCATACAGCTTGGGATATTTTACAATACCATCTCCATCCCCTAAAAACGCAATCAGTGACAAATATGATTATGAACTCAGCGGTACCACATGGATTTTGAACTAAACAGTGCTCATGGGGGCCTGACCCTTTTACAAACCTGTAGATCTCTGATGTCAAATGGCTCTTCAAAAATGTAGGCAGCATCAGCTCCAGCTGCGAGGCCCCCCATGTTGGCCAGGTAGCCACAGTAGCCCCCCATGGTCTCTATGATGAACACTCGACGCTTGGTCCCGCTGGCCGACTGTTTGATTCTGTCACATGTCTGGTCACAGAAAAAGAGATCAGTCATTCCAACCCAGGACACTGGCTAGTGCCAGATGTGCACCAGCCTAGAGCCTTGCACCCCTCAAGAGGTATAGCAAGTCCCTCCACCAAGCCCGAGTGAGCAGTCATGAGCATTGGACATAGTGAGGAACAGTATGCACAGCTGCCTGGACCCTGCCTCAGTAACCTGAGCCAGCCTCTGCATTTATTTACCAGGGCCAGCTAGAAGCTATGATCACCCATGGTGGGGGCCTGGCCACTGTCCTTTTCCTGGGTGCCTTAGGAGGTGATGGGGAAAATGGTCACTCAAGACAGTTCACCTTTGCTTTTTTTCCTTGTTTTCATACTGGGGATTGAACCTAGGGACACTTAAACAGAGAGCCACATCCTAGCCCTTTTTTATATTTTGAGACAGGGTCTCCCTGAGTTGCTGAGGCTGGCATTGAAATCACAATCTTCCTGTCCCAGCCTCCCAAGCTGATGAGATTATAGGTGTATGCCACCACACCGAGCTCACCTTTGATTTTTCGATGTGCCCTTGCTAGTGCAAATCTAGATTTTATGCAAATGCCAACTATCCAGCTTAGTTGATGGAAATCACTACACTATGTTTGAAAAGCTCTGTCTGTGCCATTGGGGTTTTGTTCACCTTTAGTTCCGGCATGCATGCCACATCATGCTTAGGGGTACCTCTAGTCAGAGACAGACAGTAGTTTCTTAGACAAAGGCATCCAGAGAAGTCTTCCAGACACATGGGCACCTGGTCTCAAAATGAAACGTCTTATCATCCAACCTCCAGGCTCCTGGCAAGCAACTCAGGAACATCCAACTGCTGCCTCCTACCTGGGGCACAGGTCTAGGTGCCATTTATTTCCTCAGTACTCTGCCAAAGCTTCTAACCCCAGCCCCAGCACCCAATCTATTCACATAAAACTGAGATCCAACTTTAAAATTCAAAACTGATCAAATTCTTGCCTTACTTAAAATCTTCCACTAAGTACTTCAAGTACAGCTCAAAACCTTGAGATGGAACCCCTGTCCTGCCAGCTCCCATGGCCAGGTCCACTCCTGGCTCCAGCCCCTGTCCTGATTTGCAGACATGCTGCACTTGGATTGTCTTGGTGGTCTTCATACACTCTGGGCATGTGGTGGGCTGCACAGAAGCCCCCAGAGGTATCCTGATCCTAATCCTAGAATCTATAAATTAAGCTAAGGATTATCCAGGTAGCCTGTAAATGCCATTACATGTGTCCTTACAAGGGGAGTCAGAGGAGATGGGACACAGCAGCGGCAGACCAGTAAACACTGAGCAATATACCTCATGCTGGCCTGGAGGAAGGAGGAAAGGCCAGAGGCCAAGGCACCCAGCGCCTGCACCTTGACGTCAGCTTCCTGACTTCTGCCTTCAGAGAATAGTGAGTGCTTCTTGAGAGCACACTGGCGCATGCACAGTAACTACAACCACAGGAAACTCACAGACACTTTCTTCCCTCCTTACCTCTGACCCAGTTCAACGTCATTTCTTCAAGAAAACTCTCTAGGACTCTACAGTTCTGTCTTGTAGGGGCTCTTGTGACACTGGGTGCTTTCCTGATAGAAACCCCCCCAGGACGAGGTCCTGCAGTTACTTGTGAAGGTATTTGATTTGGGTGTCTCTTCCTCACTAGATTCCACAAGGGCAGGCATCTTGGGCTGGGCTTACCCACTGTAGCACAGTCAGCAGCTCCAGTGATGAGCTAGGTACTCAATGTCACAGAATGAAATAGATGCACATACCCCTGGCCCATCCATCAGCCAGTCCAGAGCCCATCATATAGGATTCCCTAAACTAGTCTCCAGGGCACTTAATGGAGAGTGAAGTCACTAGAGGACACAGCCCTGGGGAAAACTTCTGGGAAAATTTGTACTGGAAGAAAAACCACAAGCTATAGTTTAAATACCCTTAATATTTTACACTGGGTTTTCAAAACTATAAATGAAAGGTGAAAAGATAAAGAGGGGTTTACTACAGTGTTAAGACAGAAGGAAAGACAGTGGGCTGTACTGTGGGGACACAGTCTTGCTCTGCTAACAAGCTAGGAAGTCATATTTTCCTGACTACGGGATTCCCCCAAGGTAGCTGGTTGACTGCTGAACTCCAGTGACCAGGAGCAGCGGCTGTGCAGAGGCAAGAGGGGCCGGTGCCACTGTCTGCTGGCACAGAGCCAGCAAGTCTCATTTCCGGTCAGTGAACATGGGTAGTTAGTTCTGTGCTATTTGCAAATTGAGCAGTCTAAACTAACCCAGGTGTTCAAGGAGAGTAAGGCCCAGGCACTGTCCTGGGCCCTAACAGAGTTCAGTGATGGGCAGCTATTTTACTGATTTATCTGTGCTCTTATTTAACATGCAAAGAAACAGAACTCCAAGAAGGATAAGTGGGATATAAGGGAGCCTTGACCCTGGTGGTTATGAGCTGGGGACTCTGGAGGCACAAGAACCAGTTCCAGAAGGCAATAATGAAGATGTTTTCATAGGTTCAAGAGTCAAATGCTAGGATTGTGTGTGTGTGTGATGTGGTGTGTGTGTGGGGGGAGGTCCTCTCCTTTTCCTGCATTTTATTCAACCCAGAACAAAAACCTCGGATAAAACTGCTATTTTCTGAAGTTCTGTACCGAATTGAGCTAAGGAAACTCTCCAACAGCCATGACTTTTCATTGCAAACTCTGGAACTAACTCAGACATGAATGTCTAAGGGGCCCACAGGACACACTGAGTCAGAAGTTACCAGCGTGCTTGGCCAATATCCTTTTTCTGGTTTGGTGAGGAACAGTCTAGGCAGCAAAGGCCTTTGGAGCTACCAGATATTCTCAGGTCTAATGTACAGGAGTCACAGGCCATGAAGGCCTAGCACGTCACACATGCTGCAATGTGGACGCTGGCACCTGCTGGATTAGTCCCTACCCACAGGGTGCGGCAGTCAGTGAGCTCCTAGGGAGCCTCTTCATCTCTCTAGGAAGACTATGCTTCCAGGCAGTGGAATCCCACTTTTGTGCAGATGAGCACTGCTTCACTTTGGAGTCCTCATACTTACCAGGTACCTAAGCCCCCTTTCGCACGCTCCCATGACTTGTTCTGTGACGCTCCACTAAGGTCACACCTCTAGCTATTCAACTTCAGGCAGGAGCAGCAGGCCTCGCCAGAAAGGATGCCCACAGCTCACCTTGTTTAGGTGGTGCAGAAACATTATGCAAAGGGCTTTTATGTCTCACTTTGGTCAATACAAACAGGCTCTCCCTACAAGAAACTAGGAAAAATTACCTTATTACAGAAAACGTGACATAAAGCCAATCTCATAGGAAACAAAAAAATAATAATAAATTTGGCCCAATCATCCTAAGAGACTGAGTGGGTGGGTTTCCCCTTTTAATGTCCATTTGGGGGAAGGCAGGGGGTGAAGGGAAACTGAGAACTGGAAATGAGAGCTGGACCTCATGGCAATGTTCTTAAGGCAGAAGAATCAAATTGTTAAAGCAAACGCAACAAAGCAAAAGCGGACAGAGTTCTCTTACCTCAACCACTGCATCCAGGCCAGTGTCAGAGCCAATACTTATGTCTGTGCCTGGGACATTGTTGCTAATGGTAGCAGGCAGAACGCACACAGGGATGCAAAACTCCTCGTGGCTGTCGCGAGCATTAGCCATCATGATCGCGCTGGAGTAAGCCTGAAGCAGCAGGGCCACAGCAGTTAGCAGGCACAGGCTCGTCACCTGCCAGTCACTGGGTGTGGGCTGTGGTTCCAGGGATGTGACAGGGAGGGGCCTGAGTCGCCAGTGGGAAGCGGCTTCATGCAGGGCTACAGAGCCCACGGGGCCCGGATGAGCACTGCAGGAGCAGAGCAAGCTCCAACAACACCGGGCCACAGGGTGCAGCCTGTCCTCCTCCCCCGCTTCCCGCAGCAGAGGCCACAAGCAGTGGAGTCTGGTGGTGCAAGGCAGCAGCAAAGCAGGCACGAAGCAAAGCAGGGGTGGAGGCGGCACGAGTGTGTTAGTCATTAGACGGACAGCAGCTCATTTCTTGGCATCTCAGAGCGAGTGGGAGAGCCAATTAGGCTGGGATATCTAAGCACAACACCGATCCTGTAACTTCTGCAGGGAGGGGTGGGGAGAGCACAGGGCTATGAGGTCGACATCAAATGACTGGCATCACAGATGCAGAGCAGGGTCACCTGCAGGCAGGCACTGCGGCGCCACGGAGGGCAGAAGCGGAAGAAGGCGTGCAGATACGTTACCCGCAGCCTTGGCTCCGGGGCATAACTGCTGTTTGGGGAATCCGCTTCCCTCTGAAGGGAGCCTCCCTTTCAGGGGCCTCGGAAGAGCTTACATTAAGCAGGATAGATCAGCCAGAGTCCGATAACTGCTCTGGAATTCCAATGGAAACTGGCTTTGATGTCAAAAGGTGAGCTGTTCAGCCCCTAGTCAGGGGTTGAACTCTCTGCCTCAGGGAGGTAACCAAGTTAGTAGTAGGTTACAGGTCCACTTACCCATAGTTCCTAAATCCATGCAGCCTCCAACAGAACAAGGCATTTTTATGAAACATTTGCTGCAAATCTGACCCAGTTATAGTCTTTTTTGGTTCTACTTAACACATCTTCTTAGCGTGCTGCAGAAACTTCTATGATAAATGGCATGTGCTCTGAATTGCCTTTGTTTTTGTCAGTGCTGGGGATGAACCCGGAACCTTGTGCATGCTACCAAGTGCTCTGCCACTGAGCCACTGCCCCTGTCCTTCTGTATTGCCTTTCTGTAACCCCAAATATGCACAGCCTGAAGATTCTGGACAGTGGGCCGTGGACCTGTGCAGGTTAGTCCTTGGAGCAGTCAGTTTGGAGGTGACATGGGGCCATCTGTACTGGGTGACGATGAACGCAACAGGAGCAGGGTGCCCCCACGTGGCCCCCCCTCCCTGGTCCTCTGCCTCCATCCGAGCTGGGCCCATGGCTAGTCTCTGTGTGGCCTCTGTCTTTCCAGATTTGGTGTGGCAGTTAGTACAGCACTTGTTCATCTGGGGGAACCCACTGGCCAGTACCCATACTCTTTTGATGGGCTCCTCAGCACTTTCTAGCTCAGGGTCACTTGAGGACAGGCTGTGGGGAAAGCAGTTGTCTGAGAAAGCTGTTGCTGGAAGTCAAAGGAACACAGGCCATGGCCTCGGACAGAGTGCTCCCCGTGGGCCAGCTGGGGTGGGGTGGAGGAGGCGGCAGGTGAGCAGCAGGGTTAGTGACTTTGTTTCTCATGAAACCTCTGATGGCGGTGGTACTGCTGTAGCACTTCCTACCTTCTGTTTCCCATTGCTCCTTTTGATTCCTTCAATCTCTAAGCAAATGAGAGGAAAACTTTGGACAGGGCAGCCCCCTGCCCAGGAAGTCAGGACACTCCGAAGACATACAAGCAAGTCTTGCCTGCAGATCCTGAGTGAGCACCAGTGACTTGCCCTGCTCAGGGCTCCAGGGTGGACACTTTAAGACACCATCAAGCTACCCTGGATAGAGCTAACCACACCAAGAGCAGAGATGGGGCACAGTCATGTAAGAAGCCAATGACACGTTCAGGTTTGGTTTTCACCCCTTTAGGATACGTGGAAGGACTCTTAGCTGTTTTCTCACCCTTCACCGGGCTCCAGGGCCCAGAGCAATCAGATAAGGACCTAGTCATGGTTTTCAATTTCATGGTCACATCACTGACCAGGGATATTGGCAGGGCTATAGTCACTGCCACCTTTGTGGCATCAACGGCAGCTCGCGTTCAGCTTGCTTTGGTTGTATTGTTGCCTAGAACAAAGTGTTGTACGATTGTGGAGGAATAAAAAGTAAAGTTTAACAGAAAAGCCTACAGCTACCTCAGGAAAGTTTTCTAAATGCCTGCTCTGAGGTACTATGTGGGTTTTGCTCTACCCAGAAGACCCACTGATACTGCAGCTACAGAGATCCCCTTGAAGGGATGCATCTGCAAGCTGAGCATCACTGCTACCAAGTGGGAAAGGATCAGCGAAGACAATAATCAGATATCCAAAGACAATGATATCTGTATCACATAAGACTAGCTTAGGGTTTGTCAGCCTCAACAGGGTTGACATCCTGAGCCAGATCACTCCCTGTGGTAGAGACTGTCCTGTACCTCCCAGGACACTGAGCAGCATCCCTGGTCTTGGCCAGTGAGATGCCAGAAGCAGTCTCTCTCCCGGCTGCAGCAATCCAAAATACCCTTCAATGCTCAAAATGCCCCTTGGTGCAAAACTATCCACAGCCGAGAATCGCCAAGCTCCCTGAACAAAAGGAGTGATTTGGTATTGGAGATGCCCGTGGATTCTAAATGAGAAGGCCATCCTGGGCAAAGCAGGCAGCTCACACCAGTAGAAACAGAGCACCTAGATGTGAACGTGCAGGGAGCTCCTGGGACCTGTGTAGGACACCAGCTTTATGCTACCAATAAGGTGAGTGAGCTGATACTAACTTGCTTTGGGCCCTGACTCACCAGAACAGTGGCAGGAGGGACCCCGGGTGACCTGTGTAGAGTGCTGCATGCCCCATTTCCTGCAGAGGATTCGTGGTTATGACCAGCCTAGCCTAGCTTAACCCCAAATCAAAACGACTGGAATTGACTTCATTTTGCCCAAAAAACATATCTCTGGAAGAAGCCAATGACACATTCAGGTTTGGTCTTCACCCCTTAGGACTTGTGGAAGGACTCTTAGCTGTTTTCTCACCCCTCACCAGGCTCCAGGCCCCAGAGCAATCAGAGCAGTCACTGGCCTGGCCTTGGCCACCTACCTTGAGATGGCAGAACCAAGAGGACTTAGCTCCTTGGAGCCTCAGAAACAGCACATGAGGAAGACCACACACATCCCTTGCCATGTGATCATGCCTGAGGCTCTCAGGAATGATCAACTACCTGCTCCTTCTTTTTCTTTCTCAGACATCATTGTTGGTTAACCTAGCTTTGAGAAACTCAAACAAATAAAAGACCAAATTTAAGAAAAGTCACAAAAACTCCCTCTAAGGGAAGTAGGATAGATGGTTTGGGTTTTGTCCTCCAATTTATTTATTTTTTTTTTCAGATTTTCAACTATGTATCTATTCTCTTTCAACAATCTGGGAAGAAACAGTTTTTTATAGCAGAGAAGCTCAGAATCATAAGATAGGAGACTCTTTCTTTGGTGCCTAAGAGTGTGTATCAAGGGGACAAAAGCCTTGTCTGGCACCTGCAGAAGCTCCCACCCACAGCAAAGGATAGCCTCCAGGTCCCCACCCATCCTCCCCCCCCCCCCAGGTGAGCTTTAACTATGTGACAATGAGTAAATAAGCAACTCAAGTCCAACTGCTTCTCTGAGGAACTCAGCCTACAGACACCCCAATCTAGGCAGGGCAGGCGAGAGAGAAAGAAAAAGAAAATTCATTGTGGTAGACGCAGATCTTTACATTCACAAAGATCCATCCAGAGCCCAAATCAGTTGAAAGCAGCAAAAACAGTAACAATCACCAAGAAGCACATGCAAGATCTAAGCAAAAGATTAGTGACTGCAAACCCACAAACACCACTTTCAGCAGACAGGATCACACTGCTACAGTAACAAAGCAGAAAGAAGTTTAAGCACTTGAGAAAAGCAAGAAATAAGTGCTAATCATTACTTACCCTTGAGATCTTAAAAGCTTTTTGGCTTTTATTTACCAGCACTAGAAATAGGTTTTTTGGTGATAAGAGTTTCAAAAAAAAAAAACTCCAAAAACTTTCATAAGAACTAGATCTCACAAGGAAAATATAAACCAGAGACTTACTGAAATATTTGACAAAAAATTAAGTCAAAATTATTCTGATTTAGATACTGATCTTCAAACTCCCATATGAATTATCAAGGCTAACTACAAATATGATACATAGAATGTACTTCTATGTTTCCTTATTGCCTTCTGGCAAAAAAATTAAAAATCAAAGCAGCATCAATATTTTTAGATTGTAATTTAGAAATTGCCAATTAAGAGGGAAATGACATTGACAGCATAATGAAAAACACAACAAATGCAAACAGAGAATTCAATAATCAATGAATAAAATTACCAAATATTGAATTTCCATCCTTAGACATCAAGGCAAAGAACCACGGTCCAGGTTTTATCACAGTAAGATTTACAGACTGGAAGTAAATGAGGCTCAGCCAAAACAAACAAAAATCTTAATAGTTATCAAATCTCAGAGCTACGGTGCCAACACCATTCAATGGCCTTGGCAGTGATAGTGCCTCAGCTACACAGAAGAGGCTGCAAAACTTCGAGGAGCTAGATCAATTTTTTCAGCGGCAAAAGGACTTTGAATATACCTTAGGAAAAAAAAAAAAAACAAAAAGACAAAAGAGAAAGATTTCTTTAAGCCCATGCAGGCACTGCCCAGCTGCCTGGGGCCTATTTCTAGTGCACTGGTAGATAAAAGGGGCAGGCCTGAGGTTAGCAGCAGCGCGCCTGCTTTGCTGGCACGCGCACTTACGTCGGTGATAGTGTTCAGAGCTGTGTCTGACCCGATGCTGAAATCGGAACCGGGCACATTGTTGGAGACAGTGGCAGGAACCATAACCATGGGGATACAGAGCTCCTCGTATTTCTCCCGGGCCGCTGACAGCTCTAGGAGTCCCAGGTAGGCCTGTCAGACAAGTGTGTGTGATTGTGGGGCCAGGAAGCTGGGAGGGGCGCAGCGGGCACAGAGGGTATCGCTGGGAGTGCAAGCACGGGAGAGCCTCAGGGAGCCACTTCCAGCACAGCACACGAGGTACATATTGGGATACCACAGAACTACATTCAGTCCAAGGGTGAGAGGTTTGCTGAGTACAGAGGAGAAAGCAGGACATTATCAAGTAGAACACTAACTCTTATTGGTGAGAGGCTGATTACTTGAGGTTCTTACATTTCTTCAAAGTAAATCAAAAGATTATCACAGGACTGATCTTTATCCAAAAGTACATAATTAAGGACTGTAGTCCAACACGTGACTCTGTAAGAAACTGAAAAAGAAAATCTAACCGTGTGACTACCTTCCTCTGTAAAGAGCCAATGGGCTTCACATTGAAGAGATGGAATGATTTCTATAGACAGGAATCAAAACAGATCTCACCAAATAGGTGAGTCTCAGATAAGAAGTCAAGCTTTGGCTTCCACATTAGGTGTCTTTACTGGAACTGGGTCAGTCTTAGGCCACCTGCTATTCTTCTGCATTACAAACAAGCCAGTGGCAACGAGCCTCAGAATCCATAACCCAAGTTCCTGAAGAGCAGCCAACAAGTTTTGTGCTTGTGTGAAAACAGGGTCGATAGTCACATGTCCAAAACTATCAAGCAGGTTAACAGACAACGACTTACCTCAAATCCACCAATGATCAAGAGGGCATTGATACTATGAGCACGTATCTGCTCAGCAATCTCTTCCAAGAACTTCCCGGGCAGGGCACTAGAAACAAATGAACCAAGAGGTGAGGTCAGACACCATCCAGCTGAACACAGTCCCCCATGTGCATCACGCCTGCAGCCCCTCGGCAACCCCTCCGCCCCAGGTCTTGCCTCCCACCTCCCATCGTGGCCACATTCTTCGGCACTATGGCAGTGGACTGTTAGCTGCGTTTTTTCCGACCCTTTGTTGCACAGACAGCAGCAGAGTCTCAGGGAATGGACACCCAAGGCAGCAGTGGCCACAAGTCACATTTCGAGAGAGTATTTTCCACAAATATTTGAGAAGAAGCACTTCAGCTAATCCTGCACCTGAAAAGCCTCCTTCTGCCTTATTAGAAAACAATAAACCAAAGCAGCTTGTAATTATTAACAGTAATTGTCTAAATAGAAATTTGTAGCTTCCCAAGAACTTTTTTATTCAAAAAAAAAAAAAAAAATTTTTTTTTTTTTTGTACCAGGGATTGAACCCAGGAGCACTTAACCACTAAACCACATCCCTAGCCCGTTTTTATATTTTACTTCGAGACAGGGTCTCGTTAAGTTGCTTTGAACTCGCGATCCTCCTGCCTCAGGCTTCTGAATCGTTGGGATTACAGGCATGTGCCACTGCACCCAGCTTATAATTTAATCTCATACACCCACACTTGCTATCCAGGCTTACTTTGCTCGTACCCTTCTGGGTTTTTGCCTACTTCAAATGACATGATCAACAGTGTAACACCACGCAAACGATACCGTGCTCTATGTTCTGCCCAAGGTTCCATCTAACACCTATCCCTTGTCTTTCTTTCGGTGTTTTTTTTTTTTTTTTTTTTTTTTTTTGTGGTGCTGGGGATTGAATGCAGGGCTTTATGCATATGAAGCAACCACTCTACCAACTGAGCTCTATCCCCAGCCAGATCCCTTGTCTTCCTTTCATGCTTATGTGAGTATGTAAAGTACTTATATTTTTGACAGATTTATAAAAATTTGTAGGGCCAAAATACTCAAACAGAGCAAAAGAGTGTTTGTGTCTAACTGCAAAGTCCCTCCTAGCCTTCTGATGCAGATTTTGAAACATCATCAGAATCTGTCCAAAGCCCCCAACCTGTTCTGCCTGACTCAAGAGCAACGCCCAGCACACCGATGCTGGAAGTGTCTTGGCCAGTCTGCTGAAGCCTGGAAGTACCTAAAGATACATCTCCTTACACTAGAGCTTTCCAGGAAACCAACCCCAGGGCACATGGTCAGACTGGAAGACTGAACACAGGCAGATCTGAAGAACTAATCCAGCCCTATGGGACCCTGCTAGCAGTAGGGGATCTTGGAAGTCCTAGTTTTAAAGCAGAACAAAGGGTTGAGATAATTTTCTAGGGACAATAAGCCACTATCAGATGGAACCCTATATAACATTTACCTAAAAATTGCTTTCTTTCCATATCAAAATATAAACTATAATAATGACTGGCATTAATATTGCACCCCTGGGATAATCAAAGATGAAAAGAACTTTCACTTAATATTAAATAATACATCTCATTAGACTATCCTCCCCCCAGCAATGGGGAAACACTGAAGCATACTATAATTCAGAAAAACACATCAAAATTACTCATGTTATTTTTTTCAAGTGTGGAAATGAGCCCCAAGCCACTATGGGGTTCCCTTGTGTCATTCCCAACACCACAAACCTGCTCCAGCAAGATTTTAGTGCTTGTTCACACAGCAGGTTACTAAAGCCCAGTGAAACTTCCAATGAGTTGTGCGGTTTTGCTCTTCCGAAGTATGGAATGAAGAACTGATTGGACAAGAGTGTCCAAAAGCTACCTTCTCTCTCTTTCCAAGCCTGGGACTCACCCCCAGTTCCCAAACATAATCGGGTTCCCAGAGCGAGGATAGGTAGGTGCCCCAATGCCTCTTTGTTTAGGAATTCCTTCCAAGATATCAGAAGAGGCACCCACATCCAGCCATTCTTCTAGAACGTGCCCGTTTCTTCTTCTTTGGGAGCAGGTTGAGAGTTAAGATTTGGAAATTACCGTTTTGTCCCAAGAATGGACCCTCCTTGGCCAGTCCAACCTCCAACATCTGACCAGCCGATTTCTTTGATCTGAGAGGCAAACACAAACAGCAAAGTGAGAGATAAAAGGGACTAGGGACACTTTAAAAAGCAGCTCAGATTCCTGTACTTTCAATAGGCTGCATTCCCGGGAAGATTTTGAAGCATTACAAAACCATGCTCTCAAAGTGTTGCCGAGGGAGTTAATGGCCAGGACGCCCAGCTTCTGCCATGTGCCTGGGTATGTCAACTCCCCGGGGGCCTCTAACATGTGCTGTGAGGGCTCCTGCCAACGTATATTTGAAATAAAGATATCATCCCACTCCAGTGTGACTATCCAGGCCCATATGCAAGAACAAACGCGCGTGAGTGTGTGTGTGTGTGTGTGTGTGTGTGTGTGTGTGTGAGAGAGAGAGAGAGAGAGAGAGAGAGAGAGAGAGACAGAGACAGAGTATGTGTGACAGAGACAGAGAAAAAGACCGTGATGGGGGGGATCCAACATAATGCCGCTGAGAGCCACGAGTTGGAAGTTATAACTGCCAGTTTTGTAATTCTTTTTTAAAAATTTGTTCCAATGAGTTATACATGACAGTAGAATACATTTTGACACATCATATTGACACATCATACATAAATAGAGTATAACTTCTCATTCTTCTGGTTGTATATGGGGTAGTTACAGGAGTTGGGTAATCATATACTCACATAGGGTAACAATGCCTGATTCATTTTACTGTCCTTCCTACCCTCCCTTCACGTCCCCTCCCTTCATTCCCCTCTGTCTAATCCAAAGTACCTCTATTCTCCCTAGCCCTGCCCCCAGCCCCTTACTGTGAGTTAGCATCTGCTTCTCAGAGAAAACATTTGGTTCTTTGGGATTGGCTTAATTATTTACATAAAGCAAAGAACAGCTTAATACTAGTAAGTCTCCCAAAGCCTCAGCAGGAACAATGGCAGAGCGAGATGCCCTGAGGATGGCAGGGTTCCTAGTCCCCTCTCTGCTGCTCAGACTAGGACAGAGGGACCCTGTCTTACTGGGTGCTGTCCTTCAGCTGCCCAAGGTGTAAAGGGACTATGGGGTGCTCCCCAGGGCTACCAATTAGGTGACTGCACCCCACCTCTCCGCCGCTCCTGCCTCCTAGGCTGGTGCTGGCTCCTCTGACTCTTTTCTTTCAACAAGGCCCCAGACTGTGCTCCTGCTCTTGTCCTACCTCCACTCCACTGGGGAAATGCCAAGTTTGTTAAGTCTAACCTTTTGATGCTAAAGCCTCCCAGCTCACATTTTAGGCCACACCTCTGATGACACCTGGCCCCAGTGTCCACCTGCTTCCTGGACATCTTTCATGAACCTTGTTAAACCTCAGCTCCTTGTATTTCCTTGCAAGCTGGCAACCCCAGGCTTTCTCCTGCAGTTAACTGCATTACTGCAGTTCTACCCCTCCCATCGGCCCAGGCCAGAGGGGAGTAACCCTTCCTCCCTTTTGTTTTCTTTCCCCACAGCTGCATATTAAATGAACAAATCCCATCAACCCTGTCCTGAGAGTACATTCAGACCTTTGGACAATGCTACCTTCACTTCTTGCTCCCCTCCCCACAGCTAGTCTTGGTGCTCCCTGCTGTGGCCTTTGAAGAACACCCAGGGATCCTGGCAAAGCCCATCAGTTTGTACCACTCTCCTGCTAAGAACCATCCCATTTTAGCATAAAAGCTCAGCATAAAATCCAAGCTTCTTACTCCCCACTGTCTACCAATGATGTGACCCTAGCTTCCTTTCTGTCCCCACCCCCTCCTGCCACCCTCTCATTCCCCTGCCCGGGCAAGATGGCCACCATCACCCTAGAACAGCAACACCTTACCTTAGGGCCTTTGCACTTCCTTTCCTCTGCCCAGGATGAGCACAACAGGCTTAGGAGTCACCTGCCTATTCCAGACCTTTGGTCTAAAATCCAGTTCCCAGCAGCGGCTGGGTAGGACCTTCATGCAAACCTTGCTGGGCTCCATCACCCTCTTGACCTCAGTGTCTTTTCAGAACTGCTCCCAGTCTAAGAACCTAGATGGTTTACTGGATCTCTTCCTACTGTCACCTCTCTCTCAGAGGTCTGCCCTGCCCCCTTTTAACCTCCACAGTGTAAGGTATGGCTCCTGGCTGAGGTGTCTGCTCTGCAGTCCTCCCGCCCTGCTTCAGTCCCACACCAGGGAAACTGGGTTGAATCGGTCAATGGCTCTGTGCCTTATGTTCCTCAGTGAGATCAGGACAACATCTTAGATTTAGATGAATGCGGAAATGAGCTAATATATGTAAATCCTGAGGAATGCGGGCCAGTGCCAGCAGGTGAGAAGGGCGCACTGTTCTCATCTCACCGAGGGCTTGGCACAGCAGAGACCGTGCGCCCTGCCTGCCAGGGCCCAGTGCCAGGGACCTGACAAGTGCCCGTGATGTCACCACCACTGCGATCACCCAGCACCTTTTCAGGAAACTTGAAAACATGTCACATGTTGGGCTTAACTTGAAGGCCCAGACTCTTAACTCGGAGAAGGAGTCTCAAGCAGAAGTGACTTCTGAAGTGAAAACCTACTGTCATCACAGTGTCACAGAATCCTGGATGACAAATGTTGGAAGGCACCGGGAGCCTAGCCTCCCCACGTGCAGAGACAGTGTCACGTGCCTTGGGACTCTGGGGAGACTCACCTGGCCCTTGGCAAAGCCATCAAAGCCATCATAGATAGCCAGCATCTTGTGGCCGTCTGCGATCCCCACTCGCACGGCGGAGCGCACGGCCGCGTTCATCCCAGCAGCAGGTGCCCCCACGTTGATGACAGCCACGTTGCAGTTGCTCTACAGGAGAGGGCAGGCCCAGGTCATCAGGTATGCTGCACACCTTACACCTGGCCCACACCACGTCGGGCTGCGCTGCAGGTGACCACATTCCACAGTATCGTAAAGGTCACAGTGGGAAGGCCAGCCACAGAGCTCAAGGATAATCCTCCAGAAGCCAGCATTTAAGCTGGGGACTGTGTGCACGAGGGCAGAAGGGCACCCAGGCCCTGGGAGGACCGGGGCACCGGAGGCCAGTCACCTACCTTTGTGATCTGATCATCAGGCAACTTGATGGCCAGTCGCTTATAGATGTTCAGGTTGCCCTCAAAGCTCCTGAAATGAAAGGTTTTTGCTGAGTGAGGGCCAAGAACACTGGACACACCAGGAAGGAGCTCACTTGGGGGACAGGGCCCCACAGAATAATCCTACCAGATACCCTGCAAATGCCCAAGTGGCCACTTAGGGAGAGTAAGGCCCTGATGTTACACATGTCCTACAGGGAGCTTGAGAGGGCCTATGAGGGCCTACTTCAGAAACAGGCTAAGGAAAAATGGCATTCTTGAGTTCCTCTTAAGTTTCTTTTCAAAATGCAAGCAGCATGTCTCCTTGTACCTTGATCTCACTAGGGTCTGAACAACCCCTGCTAAAAACATAACAAAACAAAAATCAACTTATTTTTCTCCACCTAGTTATCTAGGTCTTTTGGGAAAGGATGAGCACAAGCTCTAAGCACAGTCTAGATGACCAAGCCCAAGGAATATAAATTCCTCATGAAGTAGAATGTTCTTCAAAATATCTCACCTTCCTCGGAGTCGTACAGCATCTTTAAATCTCCTCTCATCCATCGCCTTTTGTACATCCTGGGTCTTTTAAAAGAAATAAGAAAAAAATAAGGATGTGCCAAGAGTTACTATGTCCCTGGGTTGGGATTGCTGGGCGGAAAGGGTCAATGCCTCCCCAGCTGGACCCTCTCAGTCTCACTTTGGATGACCAGCAGCCCCAAGATTAGGTGGCCAGGCATCCAATACTGTGGTTAGCAGTCGGACTGTCAGTGCCTGGCTGTGAGCTCAGAGCCCTGGACCCACCCAGCCCAGACTGCTTCCCAGAAAGAGGAGGAGGAGTGGGACCTGTTGTTATGGCCTCCAATGCACAAGGATTTCACTCCACAAGAGCAAAGGAAACCAATCTCTCAGGGAAGGTTCTGAAAATTTCTCAATTTAATTCTGATAGGGAGAAGAAAAACATAGTCCCCAGCCTCTCTGGGGGCCTCTGTACGGGACCTGAGTGTGCTCACAGCAGGCCGAGGGGACAGAGGGGCTGGGGCCACACCAGTACAAAGGGTGTGACAGGAATGACAAGCTCCAGTGATCCCAGTTAACTTTAGGACCCTGGGCAAGTTACCCATTTCCCAACTTCAATCTCCTCGTCTGTAAGATAAGAGGAAAAACCCAACCCCTCTCCAAAGCTGTCTAAGGTTATTAAAAACAGACAGTTAGGAAAACACCAGACAAACTGTAGGGAACCAGCAAATGGCTCACTGTGGCCTTCAGTAACAAAACCTTAATATGATGGTTTCAAGAAGGAGCCAAGTTTTACGTGCCACCCTAATTTCTAGAACAGACACGAGACATGAGAAACAGGCTCAAAATCAATGAGCTGTGGCCTGTTAAGCCCATCACCCCTCACACACTTCCAGACACTTCCTGTCCTCCCGTCCCCAAGGACATGGACATGAACACGCTTGCACAACATGCCCACACACATTCACACATACATACACCTGACCACACACATATACAGACTTTCTTCCCTCCTGATGGCTTCGGGAAGTATATTTTTAAGGTGTATTAGGGTTACTGTGCCCCTTGATTTAATTACTTATCCACTTCTCCATATCATGAAAGGCATTCACCTCAGTGTCACTGGAAAGACCAAAGTTATAGTCACCAAAATATTTGGAAAAATAGAAGAGCAATTTCTAATGCAACTAACTTCACTGCCACCTCGTCCTACTGAACAAAGGTTGAAAACTTATAACTCATTTTTCCTCCATCCTGTTTCAGACATTCCTGTGGACAAAAGGGATGGTGCTTCCCAGAATGTCACCGGAAGCTCTTCCAGTGTCCCACCACAGATCTGAATGTCCTATGGGACAAACGGACAGGCAGGGAGTGACTGAAAGTGGAGAAATGCACCATGCCACACCTTCTCCCTGTGAAGCGCTACACTACACATTCCCAGCAGGACCATTTGCCTGCTCTTATTTTCCCAGCAGACTCTGGTGCCACTTGATCCTTTCTCTTGTAGGAGACACTCAAGGCCCCCAGAGCACACTGGTTCTTGACTGCAGACTCATCTTTGGGGATGTTACCACTGGAGTGCCCCTAGGATGGCAACTTATAAACAAGAGAGTAGAGACTGCATGGGTTTTATACACTATGACCCACTGGTCATAGATGGGTAGCCCCTCTCCATGCCCACCCACTGGCCACACTTACCATCTGCACACACTCCACCAGGGGCAGGCGCACAGCTTGGTTTCCACTCAGCGACACCACACAGGCCGGGGTCTCGGGGGTGGCCTCCAGCAGGGCAACGACCGCCTCCACTCCCATGCGACTAGCCTGGAAATGAGAGTGGGGACAAAGATGGCCCACCATCCTCTTCCACATCCTCAGCAGGAGGCACCGGTGGCCCACAGAGATCATGGCAAGGCTTTCTGCCATTTCTGTGCTCACCTCCCACCCTGCTTCCTCACCTCCGGTCCACCTCCCTGTAACACGACGACTCCAGTGAGAACTGGCAAGAGGGCAGCAGGACAAGGCGAGGGAGCAGAGAGTATTAAGACCTGAGGGTCTGGACTCGGGGTTCCCGCTGTCCCCTCGGGCCGACGTGTGGAAACCTACACTCAGAACACTGCGTTTCCACCTCTTGGGTCCTATTGTCCTGATCCTTTCTGAAATGGCACACTGACTTCCCCATCAACTGAGGTGATTTTAAACTGGGAAATCCCTCTAGGAGAGCAAGTCTCAAAGGATCTTTAACCTTAGGATGCAGACTGCTGGCATCTCAAGGGATGGGCTGCCCATCAGCCTTTATGACAAACAGGTTCCTTTAAATGTCCACAAATGTTTCCTTCCCAGAGACCTTGTGATTGGCACCTGCCATCCTCACTCACCAAAATCCTGTCAAATGCTGAAGGGGTCCCTCCTCTTTGCACATGTCCAAGAATAGTCACTCGAGTGTCGAATCCCAGCTGCTTCACCACAAGCTAAAGGGAAAGACTTCCATTAGAAGGTACCAAACTGTGATGTGGCACATCAACTGAGCTGTGGAGACAGTCACTGTGCTGAGGAGAGATTTCTCTACTCTTTCTTCAGAACTAAAGGCACAGATGATTGTTCCTAAAGAAGGTTCAGTGGAACAGCTAACAGATATATTTCCCAACTAGCTAATGAACATAACATTTATTTTCCAAAAAGCGCTGTTTCAAGTAGCTTCTATTTCAGGTATTTATATTTTTTGAAAATGTAAGCAATTTCTCAGTCACCTTCAACTTGCACAGCTGTCATCTGAATAACATCACCCAGGATTGTCAGCCCTGCATCCAAAGCAATGCCAGCTTCTGACGTGCAGAGGCAAAGTTCTCTAAGGACTCAGAGTCTTCCTCTCTACTAACAGCAGGGCTGGTTGCCTTGTGTCCATGGTCCCTTTTTGGCATAGTATTCCATGATTTAATCTCAGTTAAGTGAGAAGGAAAATCTTTGCCTTGGTTTTATGGATCACTTTTCGTAAACATTGGCAGATGTCTTTGATAGGTATGGGTCAGTGATTGAATATGGATGTGCAGTGCTGGGACTGAAATCAGTGAGAGAAATGTACTGAGCCAGCCTCATGCCAGCATCCTGCCAGACCCTGCCTTTCTTCATGGCCATAAAGACACAATGACTCATGGCCAATGAGGCAGCTTGTTGAGAATGTGCTCAGCTGATGCTCTGGGTTGGGGGAGGGACTTCTGCTGCTGCAAACAGAGAAGCCCAGGTCAGCTGCCATGTGGTCAGTCCTGCTCACCCTCAGAGCAATTGACGCTCAATAGCTGGAACTTCCTAACCAAAAGAACATGCTTGGTCACCTTATGTCTCTCCCTATTTCTGCTGGAGCCACATAGCCTTGAGGAATATCACAAGAGAGAACAGAAGAAGTGCCGGCCTGGGAGCTGTGTATTCCCCAGGCCATTGAAGTTACTAGTCATTAGGAAAAAAATTCTAAACTATCATGGACAAAAAAAAAAAAAAAAAATTAGTACTATGCAGTGTTCTAGATCAAAACCCTGTCAATCATGCTAACAGCTCCTGTTTCCAGGTACACAACAGAGTAAAAATGAGAAATTACACAAACTTACATCCTTGATTTTCTCAGAGGAAATGGGTTGATTTTGGGTATCAATTGCTCCTTCAGCCACGATGATAATATTCAGTCTTTTTTTTCGGGCACGGTTCTAAAGAAACAGAAAATGAAAACATTCGCATTCTTAACCTGTTTTTGACAACAACAAGAAAACCACAGAAGTTTGTCCCAAATTAAACTGGCCTATTTGTAGGCAGAAATCCTTTCAAGAAGTGCTTCCCGATGACACTGAAGGAACAAGGTAGCCTGGGTGACAGCAGGGAGGGCTGAGGGTCTCCGTGGGACTTAATGGCTTAAGTGGCATTGCAAATACTGGTCAGAATTGAACCCCCAGCCTGCCAAGGCAGGGGTAGAGTGCCAACTTGCTGATAGGCCACAACAGGGAGGTGGATCCCACACAGGCTGGACCCACAGAGCTGTGTCTCCCTGCAAACCACGTCTGGTCTCCTTTACACTTAGGGCTTCCTGCTACTCTCTAAGAGCCCCACCCCCAACACAGCCCACTCATATGTTGGGCCAGGAATCTGCTGCCACTGCGGCGAACAGGACTGCACACGCAGAGAAGTGGACCGGTGGGGCACGATAAGAAGGCGGGAAAGGACCCTGTGACAGTCTACATCTGTAATGTCCCAAAGTTCCATGTGTTGAAGGCCCGCTCCCACCCCAAAACACCACTGGGATGTGTTGGGACATTTAAAGAGAGGCCAAGGGAGAGAAATAGGTCAATGGGGGTGGGCCATGGAAGGGACACTGGGACCCTATCCCCTCCTCTGCCAGGCAAGTCCTGACCATGGACTGAGACCTCTGAAACCATGAGCCCCAAATCAACCTTTCCTCCTTTAAAGTTGATTTCTTCAGGTGATTTGTCACAACAACAGAAACCTGAATAATGCAGATCCATAGCCCAGACAGAGGGTTTGGGCAGCTGTACCTTAGTGGCCACTCATGCTGTCTGGACTCTCTAGTTGGTACTGTCGGTGGCACTGTCTTAGATACTTACAGAAGTCCCGTGAGCCTATAATGAACCATAACATGTAGCAACCACTGCATGAGGGAGATTAACTCATTCTTAAGGATACATTTCTGTAAGGTCTCAAATTAAAGACCATTGCGTAGAAAGTGTCAGTGGTAGCTGTGAGGACCCCTGGCCATGACTGCAGCCAACCCTGCCAGAACCAGGGTAAGACGGGTTGTTCTAACATGGCTCACTCTGATAACATCAGTGTTAAACTCATATTCTGTTTTCATTCTTGATGGATATGAAATGTGCTATGCTTTGAAGAATTTGGTATGCAGAAGCAACTTCTTACGGGTTCAAAGTACAGAGTGATAACTACAGCCTTGCTTAAAAGAGAAAAAGCAGAGATAATAACAATATCCATAAATAACTGGTTGGCTAAACAACCATCAAACACACCATTCTGGACTGATTACAAACCACAGTCCTCAGGACATTGAGGTGGGAAGACAGCCACCTTGCCTCTGTCATTTATGGATCGCCTCCTTGTCCTGTACCTGGATTGGACGAATGCATTCACTGACTCTTTGCAAAATCACTGAGGATTTTGCAAATTACAGCAGAGAAACTGGATGCAGGAAGGTGAGGTTACTTGTCCTAAACTACCCGTTGAGTGGTAGAGCCAAGGTTTCAACCTAGGAATTCTGATGTCTCAGAAAGGTGTAATAAATTTTATATTAAAATACATACAGCTTGGAGACATTTGAGGGCTTGTTTCCTAGGCTAATTCATTTCCCAAAATATTGGAAAAAATTCTTGCAGTGGGGCATTGATGATCAATTAAGAATAAATGACAGAATGATATCAAGTGTTTCCACATATGGATTACTTCAGACCACCCAGTCCTGCCTCTGCCAAAGCCTAAGGAGGATGCCAGTGTCCCTCCTCTGGTCATACCTGACAGCGCAGGGTATAAGTGTGGCATTCAATTAGATTTGTTGATGAGACAACACAGTTTAATCACCTGCAAATATGAGGGAAGTATCTAGAAAACAAATGACTGAACCAATCTTATTGCAGACTTTCTTTCTAACCAGCCTCCCAGAGTCTTCCTTGAAGGCTGTCATTGGACCTGTGGCCTACAATGTCACTGAGGATCAGGCCAGATACCTGACTGGCCAAGCTCACTGAGCTCAGAGATCTCAGAAGAAAAGTCCTGTATAATTAATTGCATATTCCCCAGGGCCCAGTGAACATGCCTGTTAAAAGGAGTAGGACCTACATCTCATGAAATCCAAGCCCAATGAAGATGCTGCTTACGTCCCTGGGTCAGAACCAGGGACCAGGGAACCTCTTCCTCAAATGGCAGTATTTGTACTATGTCAACTAACAGCTTGAACTTCAAAAGGATGCATGATTTCCCCTAGCTACAGCTCAGCTTTACTCAATAGTTTTTAACGTAGGCTCTTGTGTCAAAGCCTTACTGAACACGTGGCCATTCTTACAGGCACTATGTATGCGCTTGCTGAATACAACTAAATTTGGTCTGTGACACGGTGCTTGCACAATTTACCTATTGAAAAATTAATAACGATTATAAAAATAAGAGAAGGAAGGCAGGCATTGTGGCACACACCTATAATCTCAATGACTCAGGAGGCTGAGGAAGGAGAATTGCAAGTTTGAGGCCAGCCTCAGCAACTTAGCAAGACACTGTTTCAAAATAAAATAAAGGGCTGGGAGTGTAGCTCAGTAATAGAGGGCCCCTGGACTCAATCCCTAGTACTACAAAATAGGTGGGGGATTAACCCACATATTGAGATGCTATCCTAAAAGCTAATCATGGACTTAAGTGAGACCTCTAATACCCTAAGTATTAAGCCTTCTTGGAGGCAAACAAGCCACATTAACAGCCACAGTATGAGACAAATGTGCAGCTCACTTTGGACAGAGGAAGAAAGAAGCCTGGCTCATGTCAATCAGCAAACAGGCAAACCTCCAGATCCCACACCTTGGAGAAGGAAATGCCATAATACCTGACTCCTAGTGTTCTGGGGAAACTAAAACTGGAGAGGTGAACAAGGGTCTGTTCACGCTTGGGCACACGGAAGTAGCAAAGCCAACAAACAGATTCTCTTTCCAAATCTGGTTTCCTTTAATAGCCATAATCCCATGGAATTCACTTCTCAAACTAGGATTACTACCTTGAATGAAAAGCAACCAAGTGCTATGCTAGCTGCTCCTTCCTGGCACTTCAGGAGGAGACAGACACGTGGACAGCCCACAGAGAAGGCTTCTCTGCAACAGGCTTTGCTTTGTTTTACTATCAGCAAGTTTTCACTTGTTTAAAGAGCTGTCCAATTTGGCAATCCCAAAGGCCATTACAGATCCTAACTAAAGCAACAGCCAGAATCCCCCAGCCATGCATGGCAAAATCACCAATTACCTCTGAAAGTTTGACGCACATGTTTTCCTCCCAGCCCTCTTCTGGTGGAGACTCTGGGAGGAACACCCAGTCTGCTCCGCAGGCCAAGGCACTCACCAAGGCCAAGTACCTACATAAAACAAAATGACAGGATGAATACACGGAGCAGGAACCTTCCAGCCGGACTACCACAGGCACCCAAGCACAAAAACAAGCCAGGTCAGTTTGTCACACTGGACTTGAACCAGGAGATGCTGGCTTCTCTGGGAGCCACACGATATGGGGTGCAGGACGCTGGAGGAGACAAATGAAAGATCCTTTCCACTCAAATCGTGTCTGTAGATACGTACCCACAGTGTCTCCCCATCACTTCTAGAACGAAGGTCCTCTGGTGGCTGGAAAGATATAAAGGGAAAATCCAGTCATCACCAGTGGGAACAGTATGCAAAGTGAACAGAAAAGTGCTCTTCCAGCCAGGTGAGACAGAGTCTGCTGCCTAATGATGGCAGGTACCCAAGCTTCCAAAAAATGACTCATTTTCTACAAAAGCAAATGCCACTATAACAGTATTTCAGAATCTTATGAGCAGAGGGGCATTAGCAGCAATTGCAGGTTCTAGGCACGTACTCTACACCTGCTTGACCCTAAGACTAACTTGCACATTTATTCTATGCTCTTTCAAAGGTGATGATGTGCTGGGCAAAGGCAGGTGCTTCTGTCAAGAACCATAGCTGGATACATCCCATATAAAGACATGAGTGCCACAGATCAGCTCCATGAACACCCAGTGACTACTGTCTCTCCGAGAAATGCAACAGCCAACTGCTCTCAGCAATCCCTCCAAACCTGAAGAGATGAAGTGGTTTCCTAGGTGTCTACCACATTCACAACTGGTCTGCAACAGAGGCAAACAGGACAGGTACGTGAGGACTTGGGAGGCTCTACCCTCTGGGTACTTTTCCAAAATTCCAAGTCTCAAGCTTCTTGTCCTCAAAATGGGAGGCACTTGCCCTACTTCCTATTCCACATGATTTTTATGAATAGTGCTTCAGGAAATCTCAGTCGCCCTGAAGTGACGGGTAATGCCCTGCCATGAGTCTGGGCAGGCTCGGCTAAGCTGATGTGGCTCCGTCTATATTCCTGTTAACTGCAGGTTGGAATCCCAGCACAAGGCAATGCCTCCTTGCTCTCCAACAAGCTCACTCGCTCCATCCCTTTACCTGCAAGCTATTCCTTCAAGGAAATTTTGGGCAAGGCTTTGGATAATTTAATTTTGTTGTCTAATTTTTCTCCCACAAGTGCATTTCCTTCTATGATCATATTTTTTTAAAAAAGCAATATTTTAAAATTTAAAGTGAAAAGTAAACCAGAGAACAACTCTCTGTGCTAGGAACTGCACCATATTGACAGCCCTCCACAGCACCTTGGGCACAGCCAGCAGTTGTGTGTGAGCGCTGGCACATCACGTGCCTACAGTCAACACCCCTGGTTCCTGCGGAGAATTTTACCTCTGGGCAGTGGTCATGATGGCATCAATGACTTCCATAATCCTGTGTAAGGCAGAGTCCGTGCCGATGGTCATGTCTGTGCCACAGAAGTCGTTGTCGATGGAACCCACCATGCCCACCACGTTAAGGTAAGAGTAATTCGTCACGGCTTCCTCGCTGATCTTACCTGCATTAGAAACAAGCAACACAGTTAAGAGCTGCTCAGGGACTAGGCAGACAGCCACAGGTAAAGACAGCAAGGATTCTACACTTTTCTCTTCATTGTTTCCTCAGAAATATATGCAGCTTGCATCTGTAGACTTAAGGAAAGAAAAGCCAGGCACAGTCAGAAGTCATCACAGAAGCATGAGTGGGCACAGGGCACTTAACTAGAGCACTGAATTATAGAAATGAAAAGACCCACATGTTGCAATCAGTACATATGAACCTCTATTTTACCTAGCAACACCTTTAGAAAATGACATCACTACAAACAAGGTGACACTACAATCTCATAATTAAGTACTAAGACACAAATGCCAGCTTCACTTTCCTTTCTCATGGCTCCACAGGGAGCTAGCGAGTTGGTGGGTATCCACCTACCTAGCGCTCTCTGGACAGACTCACCTGGATCAGGCAGTTCTGCAAAAAAAATAAATTAGAATGGCCAAAGGAGCAGGGACAGGCTTTGGCCTGGACTCATGGTCACTATTCCTATTCTGTGCTACCAACAGACCTGTGTTAGATCAGACAAGGTGGACGGCAGGATGCGGGAGGCCCTCGCCACCTCTAGCCTGGTGGTAATGCTCCATTCCTAAGTACAAACCTGAGCACAAATGCGTGAGCTCACCTTCACATCTTTCATGCAGTTGCTACCAGCCTGAGCAATACACACTTTTAATCACACATCATATCATACAAAACAAACTGTGAAAGAGAGAAAGCTACAGGATACACAGGGTTCTCCAAAGTCCTTCCCTAGGTAGCATCAAAGGTGACTGAGGATGACAAGATGGCAGATCGTCATCGTCTAAACTCCTGCAACAACTTAGGTTTAAGTGACCCCAGCAGAGCCAGTGGAATGTACCACGGTGGCTCAAAGGGTGGAAGCTGGTGTCTGAGGGCTAGCGTGAGTCCCAGCCACTTCCACAGCTGTGCACTTCCCCTGTCACCTCTGACTCCTCATCTGTAAAATTGAGATAAGGTAAAAACCTATCTCAGATGATTGCTGTGGGAATTCCACAGGACTATCTATGTAAATGGCTGACTGTTTCCCAGCACACAGTAGGGCTTACCATCATCACTGCTATTATTTGAGAAACACAATTTAAATCCTGAAATGACAAGCTGTAAGGACCGCCACAATGATGCCCAATCTACTTGGCTACAGTTAAGAGGCTCACACGGTAAAAAGGACCCATAAATGTGCACAATTGCTATTTGTCCGTCATACACAAAATAAAACAAAGGCAAAATGTTTGCATTTCAAATCTCACTAAAGGCCAGGGAAGATGAATGGGGAAAACAGAAGCTCCAGAGGCCAGCATGAGCAGACAGGGAAATGTACCATTCTTGGCCAACTCCTCCAGCAGTTCGCTCCACTCCTTCCGGAAGATGTTGGCCCCTGTGAGGCTTCCGTCCCCACCGATCACGCACAGGTTGGTAATGCCCCACTGGACCAAGTTACCAGCAGCCTGTAAGCGACCTTCTCGAGTGTGAAAGGCTTTGCAACGGGCACTGCCAATAATCGTTCCACCCTGGAAAAGATAAAATCATGTGTATTGATCTCCTTTCAACTGGAAAGAAGGCCAGATGGATCAGCACATGCAGACTGATGAGTAAACATGGGACTTTCAATTTACACTTTCCTCGTTGGCATGTCTCGTCAGCCCACTGTGAAAGTTGGCGATTTTCTCATTTTTAGTCCCATATTGGAATTCTGTGGTGAAGGACACAGATGTCATGCCCAGAGTGGCCAAGAAGGTGTGGAGCTGAAGACAAAGGCAGCCATGGACCAAGTATGCAGAGCACTTGAAAGTCTGTGGTGTCACCACAGCTGTCTAGCAGGCCTGCGTGGAAGCTGTACCCACAGCAGGTGAGTGTGACCAGGTGCACACAGAGTGGCATGCGGCCACCAGGTGGTCATCAGCCGTGACCCCAGAAGCAACTTGTGCTGCTGTTTCCAGGTGACCAAGGCTCCTTCCCTGAGTCAGGTTGCACCACAGGTTCAAGCAACACCAACGGGGAGCCCGAGAAACATCCCTCCACCCTTTTCAGAGGCTAAATCTTGAGGAAACTGAAACCTTATCCCTCAAACTTCCAAGAGAGATGAATCATGACTTCTCATACTCAGCTGTTCAAAAAACTGAAGATGGTTTGTTTGTAGCATTTGGAGAAATGCAAGACTCCTTTAAATAACAAATACAATTATAAGAACTCCAGTTTGGACCAGCTGTCTCAAGTGTCTGCTGGTGCTTAGGAACAGTGTCATCTCCGGACTGCGCAGACTTCTATTGGGACATGACTTCCTGAAGTCCTGGCACTCACATGCTGGTATTCGTCTGGACACCAAAAGTGCACTGTATAACTCACGTTGTTTATGAAGACCCATTTTAAACCACACAAATGCATATTCTTTCTACATTAAAATCGCCACCATTTAATTGGCCAAGGCATTATGAGAAGTTCCCAATTTTGAAACTCATATTTACTAACAGCACCAAGAGTGATCTTGGTCTCACAATGCTAGTTCCAAGTGTGACTGCGACAGTACACAACCTGGCTCCCTCGGGGGCAGGCCTTGGGTGGGAGGGGCAGAGGTCAGAGCGGGGTATGCTGGCTCTCTGGACTTTCACTTGACAGAGAGCAGCTGGAGGATCCTGTGAGTTTTTAGACCTGGAAGAAGAGTTAAATACCCAGAAATACCAAGGTTGGAGAGATAAGATGGACAGAGCCATTACGACCCTCACCCTCACCCTCCAACCCAGTAAACACCTCCTATTATCCTGTCTCAATCACAATGGCAGAATGGAAAGTTCTTCTCTGTGGAATTCAGCCGACACAGCCTGAAGTCTTACAAGTATTGTTCTATCTAATTACTGATGGCTGTCAAAAGTTCCTTCACTTTCTGTCTAGGCACAGCAGAGCTAGGTGCAGACTGAGTCATTGGCCAGCATTACAATGTACATTCCACCAGCATCTTCTGAGCCAATGTGCTAGAGTTTGGTTTCTAATAAAAAGTACTCAAAATGAGTCACAGCATTTGTCTACACATTGTAAAAAAACAAACCACAAATTACGAGCATTTCATGAAGTCTATTCTTTTCCACTTTTCAACTTGGAGCCTTCGTTGAGCTGAAATGTTCCAGGAAGGTATTAGGTTTAATCTCAGAGTAAACAACTGTTCCCCCCTGCAGTGGAGATCACCTCTTCCTTGTGCACTACACAGAAATCAGCTCTGCCTGATCTAGAACAGTGATGCAGGCTCCCCATTAAAGCTGTGGCCCTCGGGGCTCCCAGGATTTGTTACATCCAGTGCCAAGAGACATGCAAAAACCTAATGAGTACAGAGATTTGCCACTGAACACACAGCAACAACACACAAAGTCACCTCAACTGTAGTCTTATCTAAAAAGAAAACAAAAATCCAGTTGTAGGGCCACAGGAAAACAGGCAATGACACACTCTGGATCATGGATACTTCCTGGGTTTACATTACGGAGAAATTCTTATTTTTTAAAATTTAATTAAATGGCAAATTAATAATGTTTTCATTCGATGCAAGCGGTAAGGAAATAACTAACGGAAGTCAGCATATAAATGTGTTTTCAGTGTTACTGAAGCCCAAGTAAAAAAGGTTTCAAACTAAAACAGTTCCTCAGAGAGACATCGTGGTACCTACCACTTGTAGGATGCTGGATACGCTCTCCCATTTGGCTTCCACAATGTTAGAGCCTCCATCCACCATGCCTTGGTAGCCCTGGGCGAGAAAATACAGGAGGTCTTAAAAATGGGTTGAACTTTGCAGTGACATTAATTTATCCCCAAATTACACAAAATGGAATCACAAATGGCTACAAATACAGCTTCCCCCACACATAAAGGTTAGAAGGCAGCGCGATACTTGGACTGGATGATAGTATTACACTGTAATGAAGCCTCTGAAGTTACCCTTTAATAATGGAAGCTTTTTCCCAGACTCATCCAAACAGAAAATCTGGGAATAAAGTGTTTTGCCTACTATGCCCTAGTTCTTAGTTCTTAGGAAAAGGGACACATTTATTGTGAGTCTTCATAAATTGACACAAACTCACACACAAACTGTTTACCAACACATTGCACATGTCAAAGCATCTTGTCAGGGTCCCAACTTGCCAAGGCACTGCAGGCTTATTAGGGATCTATTAAAGTTCTTTTTTTTTTTTTTTAAAGCACAGGTGAATAAGAATTCAACCTGTCTGATCTTGCCATTAGTGAAAATTATACTGCTTACATCCCCAAACATAGCATGACACACATTTTAAAAAGTGACATATTTCCAAAAATAATCTGATTATTTTACATAAAGAAAACAATTAAAAAGTAAAAAAGAATGACTCAATGGGCAATTAGCATAGCATTCAAAGGTCTCTTCATTGTACACATGTGGTAAGTTGCTAGGAAATGACTCATTCTTCAATTTGCAAAGTCATCACAGATGTAACATTTGAAAAGTAACTAACTGCTAACTGCAGTTTTAAACTGTCTTTAGGAATAAGGAGATGTTACCAAATTGTAGGTCTAATTTTACCCAAATGTATTATAATGTATAAATTCAGATGAGTTTTTTTCGTAATGAAATCTCCCTGCAAGGCTACATACTTATTTTAACATAGCAAAATATTTTTTACAACTTTTGGAATTTGTTTGCCAAGTCGGTTCTATGACTCATGTAAGACAAACAAACCACAATACCTTTAAGACTATATGTAGCTTTTGACCGAAAACAAAAACATTATCTGTCTCGTGGACCCTACTTCATAAGTGGAATCTAAGAGACCTGCACAGGCCGTGCCCAACCCACTGTCGTGCAGAAGTTTTAATGCAAGTCACTTGCTCACATCTAAGAACACACCACAGACTCCGAAGTCATTTCAATTTCTTGTTTGAAATCCTTTTGAGCAACGTCAGAATAAACATTAGTAACCGTCTAACTGATCACTTAGGAGACACTGCTTTCTTTCTTCTTCTTTTTCTTACATATATATCTTTTAGTTGTAAATGGACACAATACCTTTATTTTAGTTTTATGTGGTGCTGAGGATCGAACCCAGTGCCTCACACATGCTAGGCAAGCACTCTACCACTGAGCCACAACCCCAGCCCAGACACTGCTTTCTTTAGAAATAGTTTGGGCCAGTATTTTCAGGCATTTGTTGAATCTGCCATAAACAGAAAAAGAACTACTCCAGCTATAGGTGGCTTTCTCTTCTAAGAAGCATTTTTTTTTTTTTTAATTAAAGGCTCAAAGGGAATTTATGGGCTGGTGTTATAGCAAAATACCTCTTCTTCCAGAAATTTTGTTCAGTGCATCCGTGCATCTTAATTGGATGGAGCTTGTTTTTCCAATCTGATTTCCTGAATTCTTCAGTCAATAACTGTTTGAACAGCAAACATTCCAGCCACAACTGAAAAACAAGCTGCTGAAAATGATGCACTTTGAAAGCATTTTTCTAGATGCTGTTACAACTGACTTCCTGTGAATGAGGTTATTGCATTCAAAGATTTATCCATGGGCTTTCATGCTTCCATGTGTACACATTTTCTGTTAGTTTGCTAGCACTAGGACTCCCCTAGTTTATATCTGAATAAACCAAAGCATTTCACTTAGAGAACTTGAGAGTGAGCACACAGGGCCTCTGAATGGCTATGTGGGCTACATAATGGCTCAGCAGTCTTAACCTTGTTCAAGACTAGGCACTCAATAAAAGGAGGCAGCAGAAAGTTCTCTGTCAGTGATTTTCAAAGTTGAGGGCCATGACTTTCTTTTTTCCCTAGGGAATGCATATGTAGAACCTGAGATTGGAGAGTTCCTCCCCAACATGCTCACCTTTCCACTAGGGAACTAAAGAAATGCTCTTGTCCAGAGACCTGAACAGTCATCTCATAAAAGTGGGCATGTTGATTTAATTATTGCATGGAAAATTCCAACAGAGAAAGAAGCCTTAGGAGATGTCCTTGGTAAGACTTAGCTCTAAAATAGGCTGAACACAGCAAATCATTATGTAGTCCTGTACTTGGCACTTTGGAAAACAAATAATATGGTAACACGGTTAATTTAGCCCTCTGGCACTATTAAAGTCCTTTAAGTCAAAGCTAACAGTACACAACCTCAGTGGTCACACCAACAGAACAGCAGGAAGACACAGGTCACCGTCCTCCCAGAGAGAGGCTATCTCACAACTCAAAGGGGGCTCCCCCAGCCCCACAGCGACAAAGGTGGCAGTGGAAGTGGCAGAGGCAGGGGAAGGAGCTCATGATCATTTGCAATTTAAAAATGCTAACTGTGATGAAACTGGCTGAAGCTCCCAGCAACATGGAGCATGACACCGCTGGCTGTTGAGGACATGTCACCAGAGACAAATCACACTTGAAGAATTTACCCTAAGAGCTGGCATGCAGTGAGCATTCAATAAAAGAAAAGAAAATGCTCATTCCTGTAATTATGACTATGTCCCAGGACGTGTACTGGCCCGTGTTCCAGTGGAAAGGTAATAATGCATGAGGCAGAGGCCTAGGTCACACAAATGGGCTTTTTGTGAATCGATTTAAGCAACTTAAGCAATGCGGTCACCATGCCCGCATGTTAGTGGGGGGACAGCCCCCCACCCCACCCCACCCCTCAGACAGTGGTGGGAAGCAGCAGCACAGGCAGCAATGCAGAGGGACACACTCAACCGGGACAGTCGTTTTCCAGCAGACACAGTGGCTAAGCAGCTTCGGCTTCAATGAAGTTAAAAGAAACACAGTTACATTTAAAACATCAAAGAGACATGCCTGAGTGACACACCAGAGGAATTTTCAACATCGATGGGGGAAGGTGGAGGTCAGCGTCAGGAATGGGAGGGGTGAGATGGGGCACAGACATGTCCCTACAAGGTCAGCCCAGTCAAGGCCTGGCGTCCTGTTTCACCAGCGACCCCTGTACACATATTCCAAGAGCACAGGTGTTTTCTGGATTCCAGCATGTCTACAGAGAAGTCACCTCGCGGCCCCTCCTCCAGTGGCTGGCGTGCTGAGGCCAGAGAGGGGGCAGCAGCACTTCTGAGCAAAGCAGGGGACAGGTGCATGGGAGAGACTTTTGTGAGCCTGTCTCAGGGTGGCATTTCTTGCTTTTAAACACTGGAGAGCAGGGTGGTGCTTCCTATCCCAGATGACAGACAGTGTTTCCTCTGGCAAGGAGGGGGTTCCATTAGGAAAAGAAAATGATACCAATCTATTAATTAAAACTTCTTTATTAGTGTATTAAGTCAAGTCACAATGCTCAGGCCTGAACAAGGAACACTACATTTACATGCTGATAATTCAAGCTCATGGCAGATGGCCAGTTGGGGTGAACCTGGGCCTTCAGAGAGAAAGCTGGAAGCTGCGATGGAAGGGGGGACTCTGAGCCCTGAGGCCACAGGGAGGGGAAAAGGTGCTACCACAGCAGCTCTGGAGACCACAGGATTACCTGCCCATGCCGTTCTATTAGCCCTTATTCCTTTACTGTAAGGAGGGTTTACACAGACACATTTAAAATCTGCTCTTTTTAATAACAGTAAGATTAAGCAGTTAAAGTGATGGGATTACTCCTAGTTTTTATTTCAGGGTGTGCAAGAGGAGAGATGAACACTGATAATATTTACAAATGGCTGTTTATGAGTAGCATCAAACTAGTTTCTTTTTAAAATGAGAAACTTTTTGGTCATATTTAATGCTTCTTTTTAAATCTGCAAAATAGCTTTTGACAACAGGATATTAAACCCACATATCAAACTAAACTCAAGGAGACAGCCCTCTTCTGCAGGGTCTTCTTGCAGTCACAGCGGCTATCTGGGGGACAGCTAAGGGACACTTCCTACTCAGTGTGACCCACCCTAACCACGGCAGTCGGCTGGACACAGCCTTGGCCACAAACCATTGTTCTTGCATCACCAAGAAGTTAAAGGCTTTCATGTCTTTAAGGAAAAACCCTAGCTTAAGGGGAAGAACAAGAAGGAGTCAATAATCAGCAGACTACGTAGAAAAGAACGGGTTAATCCACCATCCCTCCCCAGCTCTCTGGCACGTAAGCCAAGGGCTTCGTAAGCCAAGGGCTTCGCATGCACCACACGTAGGCCTGCCCCAGATTTACAGGTCTGCAAGCCACAGCCAGATAGAACAGCTCAGGCTAATATGGTGCCAGACTTTTACCAGAAACACCAGCGCCTTCCAATGAATACACTTTCACACGCCCTCTACCAGAGAGGAAAAAAAGAACCTTCAATTCCCCTCTTTCATACTAACCTGCTTAACTGCTTTAGTCTAATGGTAACCTCCAAAGCTCTGGCAAAACACAGAAATTAGACTAAAAAAAAAAATTACAAATGCAATAAAATACTAAATGGCACCATCTTCTAAATTTGAGCCCACATATGTCAAGAATTGTGGTCCCCAATGAGGGTCGTTCTGCCAAGGGAACATTTTACCAATGTATGGCAACATTTTTGACTGTCATGACTGAAGGGTGGGGGTGCTCCTGGCATCTCATTGGTAAGGACAGGATGCTGCTGGATATCCTGCAGTGTGCAGACTCTGCTCCCTTCCCAGAATTCCCCAGCTCTGAATGTCATAGTGCTGAGGTCAAGAAAGAAGCTCCAAAATATGGGTACAGTCTCAAGAGCTCAGGGAGAAGGCACCCACAATTTCCAGCAGGTCTATAAACAAACCAGCGGCAGACCCTGACGCTGTGTCTGGTCATAAACAGCCCCCTTGTGCTAGTGTAGGGAGGCCTCTGCACTGGACAGAGGAAGACACAGGAATATGGGTTAATTTATTCATCTTGCCACCAAGATGCTTGCTATAGGTCTACAATCCTTTACCCAAACTCTCTGAGTGAGGCAGACCAAAATTCAAAAGACACTGGATTTTAGCAAGCAGTATGAACATTACTGCTGTGTAACCTGGGGCTCTCAGGAGCATGCACCACCTCAAACCCACCCCTACAGATGTGGGATTCTGAAGATTAAGGTACATATACACTGGGTGGGTGAGCCAGGATTTATAGGTAGCCTTACAGGCCAGCCAGGATGTTATTGTTGAGTAAGTTAGAAAAATCTTGCAGATTTTAGAATTTTTTTAATTTCAGAATTACAGATAAAAATTTTTAAATCTATAATAGAGAGGAAATGATTCTCCAAACCGATCAAGTAGATAACATTTATTGCTACTGAGCAAAGAGCCTGCTACTTGCACAAAGGCCCTCTGGTCTTAGGTGGTCTGAGAATCTGCTTCCAGTGAGCCCAACCAAGGTAAGGTAGATATTGAGGACTATCCTCCTGTAAGGATATGAAGAATAGAGCTCTTCCACTAAGATTACCTTTTGGGGGGAGACAGGGGTATCATGAGAAGTACCTCATCATCTTTGGATGGGCAATTTCAATTCAAAAGAGTTCATCTTTGGGGTGTTTCCATTACACTCCACTAAGACAGAATTTTAAAATCCAGGTACTACTACATTCAGATATGGGACAGCCTCTATCTAAGGTGCCCACTCCTAGTAAAATATTACCATGAAACTTAAAGTCGTCTTTAAACAACATCTGCACACAGGATTCTCTTTGGCAACATCTCAATGGAAGAACTGTGGAGGTTCCTAAAGGAAATGGGAGCTGCCCAGAGCCAGGACTCCTCATTCCCCCTCCAGGAAAGGATAGGAAGAAGAGCCCACACCAGCCAAAATTTCCCTTAGCCACCGCTTCAGAGAGGAAAGGACAAACACAGCCCCTACAGACCACTGGGTTCAGGCACCTTCGCTGCCTACCAGGCAGTGTGGACCTCAGAGCCCCAACTTTTCTAGTTGATAACTGTGACGGCTGATTTTGGGTGCTAGCTTGGCTGGATGAACGGCTGCTAGAGCCTTCCAGAGCACACTTCTATGAGGGTGTTTCAGGGAAGGCTGATGTGTGGGTCTCTGAACTGAGGAAGATCTGCCCTGAACATGGCACCATCCTACAGGGTGGGGCCTGATGGAAGAAAAAGCAGCAGGAAGAGGCAGCTTGCAGTCCTGCTGTGCCCTGCGGAAGAGTGCGTGTTTCTGTTGCCCATGGACCTCAGAATCTGGTTTCTTAAGTCTCTGAATGCAGACCTGTACCCAGTGGCCCTCTAGGCAGCTGTGGGCCTTCAGCCTGTGGCTGGGGGCTGCCTCTCTCACATTGAGCTTTCCAGATTCTTGCAGAGAGCAACTACTGATTTCCTTGGACTGCAGATGGCCATAGTGAGGCTTTTCAACCTCCGAGCTTATGGACCCGTCTAACAAATCCCCAGCTATAACTTTAATGAATACAATGATGTAGAGAATAAATCTGGTTTACCTCAAAAGAAAGACCACATGTTCTCAGTTACAAGCCCTTGAGATGTGTTCCATACCAATTCCTTAATTTTAAAATGTGTCTCGTAGACATAGGTCTGAATATCACCAGAACACAGGTGGACAACCACAGTGCACGGTGGCCAATAAAAACAGATACACAAGGGCCAGGAAGACAAAACCATTAAATCCAATCAAGTTGACCAGTTACTATTTCAAAGATGAAACCCTCGTATATCCATCAGCCTTACCAGGTCCCCCTTCTACCAATATCCAAACCCAGTGCAGAGTTGACCCCTGGTTTAAGGGAGGGATGCTCAGCCTCTGCACTGCTCACGTTTGAAGCCAGCTGGGCATCAGTGGTGGGGGCTACGTAGTCCATTTTAGAGTGCTGGATGGCATCCCTGGACTTACCCACTAGGTGCCACCACCAAGAACCCTTCCAAGAATGAGGTAACAAAAAGTCTCAAACATTAGCAAGTGTCCTTGGGGTCAGTCACTCCCCTGACCCTGGGCTGGGAGCCTGAGAAGTCAACACACCTTCCTAGCCCTAAAAATGAGGCGTAGTGACCCAGAGAAAATAAACTGTAAAGGATGGATCAGCTCCTTTCACTATGAAATAACAGAAATAACTTCCTTCCTCACAACCTGCACCCACAAAGTCACCACGAAGATCCAGTTAGTCGCTGTTGTGAAGGCATTTGTAAAACAGGAGCATTAACAGAGGCCAGGGATTGTAGCAGCCATTGAAATCACAAGGTTTCCTGGGAAAACCTCCTGTACTTTGTTGAACTTGAACACGTTTTGCTAATTTCGACAGAAAAACCTCATCTGAGGCTGCTCCAATTCCAAAGAGCTCATTCACTTATTAGGAACAGCTTCCAGGCCAGAACACCAAATTGTCCCTCCAGGTCTAAGGCAGAGAGCATACCTTACCTCTTAAAAGAAATAAAAAGAAAAGAAAAAGTCAAGGCTGCGGAAACCACTCAGGGTGCACAGGTACGCTATGCAGCAGGAGCAGGAAAAGGCAGCCAGTGGGTGTAGGTGAGAGACTTGGAGACTGAATGCAAACTGGAAGGTAGTGGGGTGGAAGGAAGGATGGTGCCCGTGGCACTGACACTAATGTGCTCATTCCAAGTCAATAAGCAGGGGAAAGCAGCCATCAGAGCCTGGCCAGAGCCCAGGAATGGAAATTCACAAGGGCAATTTGACCTTAAACCAATCCAAACACAAAATGATAAAACAGTGGTCTAGAAACTCAGAGGTTAAACCCATCATTTTAAAATTGCCCCAACCAGATAAGTACAAACAAAAACCACATAACACTTCAAAAAAAGCAAACAAAAACACAGGAAAATCCTCTTTTCAGCAAATGATAAACAAATGGTTCTGTAGACAAATGAGAGAAGAATGGGAACAGACATTTCACAAAAGGGGAAAATGAATTAGTAGATGTGCAGGGGAATCTCGCCAGCTCCCGGGAAGTCGCATGAATGCAGCCACACACGTATCTGGCAAGCATGGGTGGCACAGTGCTGGGTGGGGGTGGGCCTCAGGCTGGAGTTAGAAATTTTTGAAATCACTTTGGCCAGACATTGGCATTAAAAGGACCATGAGTTTGGACTCAGTCAATGCCAGGTCTTGGCAGGTAGTGATACAAAAACCCTAGATGGTTTTAAATATTATATAGATCTTGCAGTGCTATGGTGAATCAGGAATCATGGAAGTGAGGGCCAAGTACACAATGGGCCATCAATCCGATGGAGCATTTTGGATCATTTAAAGCAAGAGTTGGGCTAGGAGTAGTGGCACATTCCTGTAAGCACCAGCAAATGGGGAAGCTGAGGCAGAAGCATTGCAAGTTAGAGGCCAGCCTCAGCAACTTAGTGACACCCTGTTTCAAAAAATACAAAGGACTGGGGATGTGGCTGGGGGAGGGTGGGGGAAGCATCCCTGGGTTCAATCCCCAGTACCAAAAATAAATAAATAAAGGAAGAGTTGGAATCAATATACCAAACAGAAAACAGTCATAATGGCAGGTATAAAATACAGCATATAAATATATATTTGCTATACTTTTCAAGATGTACATATTTCCTTCTAGTCTTTTATATATACAATGCTGGGAGGAATCATACTCACTAATGGTCATCTTAAGAAAAATTCAATCTTAAAAATAAACATTCTCCTCTTCCCAGTTTTTTGAAGCTTTGACTTATAAATGTAAAAATTAAAGGTAAAATTTTCCAAATAGTTCTTAAAATAAATAATGTGGTTCAAACTCTATTAGCACCTTTCACCCAACTATTACTGATTCTGAAGTTGCCAAGACCTCAAAAGTCAAAGACTAGGTGCCATCCCTGCTATTTGGTCACAGATTCTTCATTCTGAAACTAAAGCCTGAACTGACACTAGGGAGGTGGCCTGGGTTTCATATGAATAATGAAGAGCTCAAAGTGGCTGTTTTACCCCATTTCTCAGAGTGCTTGGTCAAGCTCAGCCCACCCTGGAAAGGACTACATCACTTGTACATGAATAAGAGCTGCAGACAAATACCACCATTTGAGATTACTGATCCTCCAAATCAAGAAAAGGAAGTTGATAGCAAAATGACATGTGCTCAGTCTTATCTCCTTTCTTCCCTCACTTCCTGTGCTCAGCTTTGGGAGACAAGTGGGAGACAGGCCTGCAATGGCAGAGCTCTGAGCAGGTAGGAGGCACAGATAAACAATAAATGGGAAGCAAACACTGACCTCATATATAAAGTACACTTTGGCCCCCACGTATATTCCCATGCGCACCACAGCACGGACAGCAGCGTTCATACCTGAGAAAGAACAGGAACAATTGTTACTCAAGAGCCTGTGGCCCAATAACAGGCTTCTGCCATTAATTAACTGAGACTACAGGTAAATTGTGCAACCTCTCCTACGTTCCTTTTCCCCTATGTGAGAAGTGAGGGATTAGGGTAAGGATTAAGAGAAACAGGGAACATAAAGCAAGGTCACCCATCCATGGGTACAGTGGGTATGGGAGATATAGCCATAACAGAATCCAGAGCACTTTCAGTTCAGAACATAGGTGCCTGGGCTTGGTGTGAGTTCCCAAGATGCTCCACGTGCGGCAGAACAGAAGAGAAGACAGAGTCTTCTTAGAGTTAGCCACAGTCAAAGAAATCAATACTGAAAAGGGCAACTAGTCTGTAAGTTGAGGAGCTGAAAAACTGGTTATTTCATTACCAGCTATTAGTATAATAAACAATTAGGTGATGGCTTTAAGTGCAATATAAGTCATGCAATTCTATTAGAAGATAAAAACCTGCCTACTGTTAATATTAAACCTAACCAGGATAACTCAAGGACATCTTTCACATTTAAAAGAAACTAATGCAACAAAAGAAACAAAATGCAACGTGGAATCATACAAGTCCACTGGACTCGAATCTGCTTTGCTTTCCCCTTAAGTCCCATTTCTGCAGACTGACAACTGACTGGAATCGCCCCCCACAGGCATGGAACCTGAACAGTCCTGCATCACTGCTCTGGCTAATGAGCTAAGGGCATCAACAAGAGAAATAGAAGGACTGAGGACCAGGTCCAGAAAGATGCCTTCATAAGGGGGGACACCCAAGCGAAATTTCAGTCAAATTGCTACCACTCAACCACTCCCAATCTGCCTCCTCCATGTATTTACATTCTGGAAATAAATGTTAGAACTAGAGATGTCACAGAATATATTGACAATATCTTTTGGTAAGTAAATGCCCCATAAAAATGAGCTGTGGCTCTTCAAAAGTATACTGTAACTCATGAGGAGACTAAACTTGAGTATATTTATATGGCGAATTGGCCCAGAAGATGGTTTAAAAAATCCTCAATTATGCTAAGCCAGTTCTGCAATTCTGGAATAAGTCCATTACCACTTTTGAATGACAATATCCCTTTAGTGAAAAGCCTTGGGATTGTGTCTTAGAAATAAATGTATGTGATATACATCTGATGTCTATGTACATGTGTATATTGAGTACCCTTATTACTTCATATTAAAAGCCAGTTTACTGTGAAGAAATTTTAACAACCTGCTGAATTAACTGGGGCCATCTCTCAAGAATATCAAACTTGTTGGCATGGTGGGTGGCATACACCTGTAATCCCAGCAGCTCAGGAGGCTGAGGCAGGAGGATGGTGAGTACAAAGCCAGCCTCAGCAACAGTGAGGTGCTAAGCAACTCAATGAGACTCTGTCTCCAAATAAAATTTAAAAAAAGGGCTAGGGATGTGGCTCAGTGCTTGCCTGGCCATGTGTGAGACACTGGGTTGGATTCTCAGCACCACATATAAATAAATGAATAATAACAAAAAGAAAAAGGGTTTTTTTAAAATTTTTAAATACAATGAATTCTTTTATCCTGGTAATTTTCTCTTTCCCCTGTACTCACTCTTGCTCAACACAACAATTTTCTTCTGTGCCATTCAAACCAATACCTCCAATAGCTCCTGCCTATAAAAATGACATATTTTCCTAAACCTTCTCCCTGAATCATTATCCACACCAGAAATTGGCCACAATGACTGAAGCAATTTCTTTTTTGTGTTTTTGCAAATAACTTATCAATACATTCCGTTAACTTAATTACAGATAAAGTAACAGACACATAAGCCTCAGATGCTGTATGGCTATCTTCCTGAATATAGTTCCATACTTCTTTCCTATACACGATTTTTATACTTTTTATACTCAACATCAGCATAAATGTTTTGTTTTAAACCATTCCAGTGCCATGGTCCCTCACCCCCATGACTCCCGGCCCTGCAAGAAGAAAACTCCTCAGGGGGACTCTGAGACCTTGCTCTGGGGACTCTTCCTTCCTGCCTGGGGGCTGCAGGAAGTGCCTGTCAGCATCCCCTGTCAACACTCCTCTTTGGAGGCTCTTCCTCAGCCTCCCAGCTCCTGTACCTCCAAGAGGACTCCCTGGCCTCTCCCTCATCTGTCTCTCCTTATCCACTGCAGGGAGAAGCACCTGCCTCTTGGCACTCACATCTGTGGCAGGCATCTTGCCTTACACTTAGGGATAAAAGCAGCAATTTCCAGATCCTTCCAACAGACTGTGTTGTTCTAGGACTTAATGCTACAGACACTAAGAACAGGTGGATTAGCCACCAAAGATATACCTGTGTAGATAGATACTGGGTGGCACGAGGGGATAAACTGTACCACAAGAGCCCTTTTCCAATTTACTCCCCTTTACTCCCCTCTTCTCTGAAGACCACAGTTCCCCAGGGCCTTTCATAAAGGCATGTAAATGAACAATCACGGGATTGAGAAATGTCCAAGGAAAAGAAATAGCAAGAGGACTGAAATTTTTTAAAGCTGGACACAAAAGACAAGGTGAGCCTCCAGGGCCTCCTCCAGGCGCCTCCCCATCCCCCACCTGGGGGAGAAAACTGGTTTCCCTGGAGGCAGCTCTCCTAAGCCTGCAGCAGCCCCAGCAGGTCCTGCTCAAACCCCCTGGGGCAGGTGGTTGGGCCTTTGTTGGCATTTTCTAACAGGCTCCCAGCTGTTGTGGGAACCACATTGCAAGAAGCTCAGCTCTAAGCCCTAGGGGGTTTTTCACTTGCAAGTTACCCTAATGGAGAAAGCCAGCTGGTCTTTTTCACTCCTGCAGCTCAGGAGTTAGGAGCAGCCTGTTTGGGACCAGGCAGGAAGCCTGCTAAGATCCTGCCACCCTCCAGAGGTCCCTGAGAAAGCTGGGCTCTGAGGGGATATATTGATTTGCCCAAGGTAACAAAATCAATAAATGGTGCAGTGGCAATTTAAACCTTTCTTTAAAAAAAAAAAAAAAAAACTTAAAAGGCTCTCCAGTTTCACCTATTACAAAGACCAAGTGTAGGAATCACCAAAGGAGGCTTCAGAAGGAGGCTTCAGGATAAGAATGCCTTCAGGGGCCAGATTCTCATTTCATCGCTTAGGGGTGGGGCCTGATAGGATTGAAAGCTCCCTGCTTTGGGGTGTGATCTACACTGCAAAGGGCTGCCTCCCCTGAGCACTGTAGGTAGAGGCCTGAGGAAGGAAAACCTCAAAGTGTTCTAGGAGGGGTCACAGCAGGGAGCCAAAGTCTGAAGAACAGGAGGCAAGGTGGGAAGAAATAAGCAGGAGACCAATCCTTGAAAATCCGTCTGGTTTTACAGCCTTGTGGGTCAACATTCCCGGTTTCCTCATTTTGCTTAGGGCTGTCCTTGGGCTCAGCCACTAGGCCTTTTGGGACAAAGGGCCATTTCAGGGTTCTCTACTCAACACTCAAGCTACCGTTTTTAGAGACAGCCCAGTCCCAGTAGGGTTCATTCATTCTGTTTGGGTTTGGGTAGCCAGACCAGGGACACAATAAAGTTCATCAGCATTTCCGTGGGAAAATGTAATCCTCCTACTGAGCAGGAATCCTGGTATTGGGAAAGTAACCTCTTCATAATTTGCCAAAATCTAATCCTCAGTCCTCAGGGAACACAGAATCCAGGTATGGGAACCATAGACAAAAATAGACCTTGAGACAGCTAGTTAAGTGGAAAATAAGTGATAATTCAATGCAACAGAAAGGCCCAGATTATTATTTTCTTGATATTACACATTTTCATAGGTCAAGTGCAACTAACAGTGATCAGGTGATTTCTTCCCTGAGGTCCAGAGTCTTGCATGTGCCACCAGCAGGGCCTGGCAAGAAAGCACCAGGTCAGTCCTCATTTGTGGGCTACTCTGAGGTGGCCTCACAGTTTCCAAATGCTTGAGACTCTGCTCTGATAAAATCTATATTGTGCATCATTAGAAATGATTCTTTTTGAGGATATGGAAAGGCTAACTACACTGATCCGATCATTATATACCATATACACGCATCAAGATTGCAACACTGTGCCCCACAAATTAGTACAACACTGTACCCCACAAATTGGGCTAATTAAAAATAAAACTTACTAAAAATGAGAAAAATATTGATTTAATAAAATACTTAGGACCCATCCTTATACTTCCTTTCTTATCCAAATAGTGGAATAAATTTCCTCACTTGACCTTTGACAGTATTGAGCCACTTTTCTTGAATATTTCACAGTACTTGCCATCATTCACTCACGAATTTCAGTATTTATAAATTCCTTTTTGAAAAATAAAGTCAGGTTGCTGGCTTCTCTTATAAACGACAAATTTAAAATATGCCCTATCTTGCTACTAAAGTTCTCCCTAAAGCTTTCTCTTTGGATAACTTAGGCAGGTGGGAATCCCAGGAGGAATCCTGTTGGGATGGTGACTCCCTCATAGTTCAAAGTCATCAAGCCAGGATAGCCTCTCTTTCTGGCCTCCTGGACTGCCCAACCGCTGCTGCTGCACCATGGCTTAAGTCAGGGAGGGGATAACTGCAGACACATCTGTGAGGAGGCCTTCATTCATTCCACCATCTACAGAGTCACATGGGTTGTAGTCTCCTGCTTGTCAGATACTGCTGGGATTCAACATTGACAAAACAGACCTTGTTGCAGCTTGTTACAGTCAGGGGAGACCAATAAACATGACAGACAAATAAACTATATCCACTGGTAAAAGGGCACAAGTGCTAAGGAGAAAAATAAGCAGATGAGGACAAGAGGCTACCTAGGATGTAGAGGGTGCCAGAGAGGCTGCAAAAGTCAGGTAAGAATTGGAGAAGGCATCCCTGAAAACCTGGTGTTTGAGGAAAGATCTGAAGAAGGTGAAAGTTAGCCAGTGGGCATCTAGAGAAGAACACGCCAGGCCAGCAAAGGCCTAAAAGAGCATGCTGGAAGTGTGCGACCTTCAGGGTCCT